AAAAAAAAAAAAAAAAGCTGATGACTCCCAAAATTATTTCTCCAGTCCAGACTCTTCCTCAGAACTCTAGACCCATATAAGCCAACCGTTTACTTGATATATTCATTTGGATGTCTATTAGATAGCTCAAATAGAACGTGTCCAAATCTGAACCACTTTTCTTCCTAAAGCTTGCTTTTAGGCTATACTTCACAACTTGGTTAATGGTAATTCCATTTCTTCAGTTCCTCTGGCAAAATGCCACGGAGCTCTGCTAGACTCCCCTTTGTTCTCTACTACGTCCAATCTATCAGCAAACTCTGTTAGTCCTATCACCAGAATATACCAAAAATCCAACCACTTACTCCATTTTTTCTGTGACTAGCTCAGTCTGAGCCACCGGCCTATTCACAGGTTGCCTTCCTTCTACTCTTGACCACGGCAGCCCTTGCTCTTCTTTCTGTTTTCAACAGAACAGCTAACGTGATCTTTTTAAAATGTATGTCAGATACTGCAACTCTCCTGCTCTAAACCTTTCCAAGTAATACAAAGTACTCCCAGTAAAAGGCCTCAGATGACCACTTTCTGAGGTAACTCTACTGCTCTCAGAGCCCTCTGCTCTAGCTCATAATGGCTTCCTTGGTGCTCTTCAAAATTAAGGGCCTCTGCCTAGAATGCTTTTCCCCCACGAATCCACTTGGCTCAGTCTTCCCCTCCTTTAGATTTTCCATATTTAAAACTGCAACCCCCTCCCCAACAGCACTTCCTATCCACATGGCTTTATTGTTCTCCAAAACCACTTATAATATTCCCTATCAACTCAATCATTTACTTATCTATCTCCTTTCATCAAAATATATCCCTGAAGAGAAAAACGGGTTTGTGCCTGCTTTGTTTGCTTTCCCTGAAATACCTAGAACAGGGTAGGGATTCAATAAATACTCACCGAATAAAGGAATGACTAAGGCATTCTGCTGACTTTTTCAGTGAGAGAGACTTTGAAAAGCATCATATACAAACCCCTAAAAGAAACAGCTAAGAGAATGGAGGCCACAAGAGGAGAAATGATCTGTCGAAATCACAGTATTAATTAGCAAAATTTAGTTAGAACTGGATTTCCTGACTTTCCGCTCATGGCTGCTTTATGATCAAAGTCATTGAAACTACCTTTGATTAACTTATACATTATCCCTCTCCCCAACCCATTTTATGCTCATGGGAAAGATGTGTATAGGCACATATCTTTATGAGAAAAATGGGGAAGAAATTAATGTATGGAAAGAGAAAAATGTACTTGTGTACTTAAAAACATACATATATATATACACAGACACACTACATTATATACAATATACATAATTTATTTACTATATATATATGCACACATATATACATAGATACATTATTTATATATAATCTTCAAGGATTAAATAGAGAACTGATAGAGTAATTCAGTTAACTAATTAACTTGGCAAGTGGCAATGACCTGGCCACTAAGGGAGCTTTTTGTGACTACTCTTTCATGATCTTTTTTGTCTTTTTTCTTTTCCTTTTCTCCTTCCCTCCTTCCTTCCTTCCTTCTAAACTTCCTTCCTTCCATCCTTCCTTCCTCAGGGAGAATATTTCATAAAGCGTTTGATGTCTTTGGGAAGTAAATGAAAATGTGAAATAACCAAATAGTGTTCTTTCAGTCTAATTTTTTAATGCCTAGGTATTCAGGAAACCTTCTGGAGAAGTCAAAAGACAGAAACAGGAGAAATGAAGGGCGACAGGGAGGAAGACTGAGGGGGCTAGAGAGGGTGAGAGGGAACAAAGCTGACTGGTTCATTTAAGTGCACACATGCACTCCACTAGTTAGCTTTTTTAATTCACCGCATCAAACTGCCACACAGAATACGAGTATGTCTCAAAGGAGTAAAAGGGAAAAAGTATCACCACACTAAAAGATTTATTTTCTTCTCTTAAATTAACTTAGCCTCTGCATGATCATCTCTAGTCCACAGCATAACCTTCCATAGAGCACAAAATCCTCTTCTGCTGTGCTCCTGGCTTCTGGTTTCCATTCGCAATGGTCCAGCACACAGTAACAAAGCAGCCTGACTTTACACCTCTTTCTGAAATTAACACTTCTGATTACAAAAGATTAAACCCAAATAAAAGGACTAACATTTCAAAGGAAGTAGAAGAAATGCAAAATACCTGAAGTACTGGTATCTTCCAAAGTGATAAGAGGAGAACCTTTTTGAATCCTGCGATAAACCAATTTGAATAGCTTATATGACCCATGGCTCCAAGCAGCCAGTTTGAATAGGCAAAAGAATTGTCCCTGTCTCACTCTTGCTACCTGCTACATTTTAAAAAACAGGCATGTTGACTTTTTTCCTTGTTTAGGACTATTTGGTAACTTTTTTTTGAGTGAGTATTCACTTTCCAGTTCCTTCCATTTTATTTTCATCAGAAATCTAGGCAGTAAGCAGAGAATGTAGGAAACAAAAAAGGCTTTTTTTTTTTAAGAGAAATCTGGCTATTGACAAATATACATTTAAATATGTCTATCTGGTTCTAAAAGACTGTTGAGAAGCCCCCACGTTCATTCAGAAAAACTGTTCTCCAAAAACGTGCTCAGAAAAAAGCTATCGTGAAAATAAGTGTTTTATAAAAAGAAATACATTTATTTAATATGAAACTATCTTTAGATATCTTTTAGATATCTTTAAAAGGGAACTTTGTGTAGGTAAATGTAAACTTTTATTATTATTTTATTTATTATTACAAAGAAACAAGTAGAGATGTTAATTTGGGGAGAGATGTATATATTTTATATACCAATGTCACCCTTTTACTTATGAAAAACAGATTCAAAAATGATGAGTCACAATTATCAGGAGAGGTCTCTATCTTTAAAGTATTCAAACTATGCCTCTTTCCCATTAGGTTATTCTTAGTTTCTTAGACCAGGACAAAGAACAAACTGTCCCGACCCACAGATTGTTCCAAATGGGGACTAGATGCCTATGAACTCTGGTCTAGGCCTGGAAAGAGTACCACAGTGTCAAAGATTACTGTGCTGACGTATCAAAGAAGGGAAATGTTATAAACTTGTGGTAAAAATGAAAAAAAGAACAGTCCTTTCTGAGAGGGAAATTTTCCTTAGGGAAATCAATAAAAATATTTACAGAACTTTCTCATCTCAAAACTATGTTTTTAAGTGTCTTTGAAAAAAAATAAAAGCATCTTTTAAAAAAATACACAAACATTTAAGAAAATTTAGTAGCATATCATACTTCTACACACTTACACATTCTCACACACACAGTTGTTTTGCTGCACAGTTAATCATTTCTCTAAAGCTTAACTTTTCCATTACCTTTTGGTAAGGCTGGGATATGGATAAGAAGGTGGTAAATCAGCTCTACTTCAGGGAAGAAAGTAACTTATTAAAGTAGGCTAATGCTTATTGCATTTAGCCAGAATTTCTAGAACAACTAAACAGTAATATACATACCTTCTTTTAAAATTTCTTAAAATTTATCAAGAATGACCGCAACTGAATAGATGTAGCTATGGTTTATTGAGATAAGAAAAATGTCGGATGAAAATGGAAGTAAAAGATTTGGTAATTTAATTTTGAATCTAATCAAACAATCTCAGCTTTAAAATTAATAATTCAGGGGGGCCTGGCTGGCTCAGTGGGTTGAGCAGTCGACTCTTGGTTTCAGCTCAGGTCATGATCTCAGGGTCCTGAGATCGAGCCCCACCTCAGGCTCTGTGCTCAGAGGGGAGTCTGCTGGAGATTCTCTCTCTCCCTCTCCTTCTGCCCTTTCCCCTCCTCTCTCTAAAATAAAAAAATAAACCTTTAAAAAAAATAAAGTTAATAGTTCAATACTTATATTTGAATGGCAGAGATGAGATCTGATACGAAGACAAATTTGGGAGTCATTCCTTCTCCAACAATCTGGACAATATTAAAAGAAATGGAAATAGATTGGTCACTTACAGTAAAAGTATGTTTATATGGAGGGAAGAGCCCAGAACTGAGCCCTAGGAGAAGCCACACTGAAAGACTGAAAGACATCCTTTATACATATGCATACACACACGTTCATGTGCATACACACATACTGAAGAAATATCTTCCTGGCTCTAGTTTTCTAAGAATTTTTACATGTCCAGTATAGGTAAAGCAAAGTCATTTTATAATATATATACAAACATAATTTGAATATTAAATAATAAGAAAAATTATCTTAGAATTACCTTCAAATTTCCAATTTTCTACACTGCTGTTCAACAGTACAAACAAGGATAATCCAAAGTTTGCCACAGTGTCTTTTCTTTTAAGCTTTTTAAATCTGGTTTTCACAGAAATCACTCATATAACAAATCAAAGTTAATTTTATGAACATATGAAATCTAAATCAAATAAAACCTGAATTTGGAGGGCAAATTTGAAACTGGTATTGGCAGGTTGATTGTGTTAAGTGAGTGTGGGTGTGTGTGTGTCGCAAATATGAGGAAGAGGAGCAGGAAAATTATGATGATCATACTGATGATGAGAGCAGCAAATATCTGGACTGCTCATTCTGTGTCATATTGGTCAAAATCAGAGTTTTTCAACCTCGGCATCATTGACATTTTGGACCAGATAATTCTGTCGTGGGGGACCGATCTGTTCATTGTAGGATGTTGCTAAATATCCCTGGCTTCTACCTGTTAGATGCCAGTAGCATCCACCCAACTGTGATCAAAACATTCCTCCAGACAATAGCGAATGTTCCCTGCGGGAAGGCGGTATAACCATCTCTGGGTGAGAATGACTGATCTAAATGATTTCTATGTATTATACCTCATTAAATTCTCACAATCATCCTACGAAAAAGATGCCATTATTTTCCCTCACTTTTCAGACACTGAAGTAGAGGGAGGATTATCAAATTGTTGAAAGTCAATGTCCACAAACGGTGTTTCACTCTACAAACTCAAGTATGTCTGGCTCCAGAGTCTACATTCAACCACCACAATATATTGGAATATGCGCAGAAGTATACACAATAAAACAGAGAGTGGAGAGAAGAACTTCCTGTTTCTTAGCATTACTTGAAGGACAAGCAACTAGATGAAAGTCTTTGCCATCTATGAAGTACTGTGCAAGTACAAAGGACCACTATTTATATTTCATAATGTTTAATACCAGTAGAACTAACAATATTTCACTTAGCAGTGCTTTTAATTCACAGAAGAAACTGCACATTGTTGCCTCCCTGGGAAACTTACGGTCCATGGGAAGTTGTTTGTGTTTCTGGTTATCTCGCACAATACTGTCACCAGAGCTGCTGTTCTGACGGGTTACATTTGCCGGGACCTTTGGCACAGAAACAGGTGCTGGGGTAGAAGGAGGAAGCGGGACAGGAACAGGAGCTGGTGTTGGAGGAGGTGATGGGGCAGAGGGAGTATCAGCTGGTCTGGGACCATACTCCATCCTTTGTTTCTATAAAAAGACAAATAACTAATTTGAAATTGCAAAAATATAAAACCTAGGCTAGGAAAACAGTGCATACTTGACAGGACATTGTTGGCTATTTATTTGTAAACTTACCTGCAAATCCATAACAAATCCACGCCTCCAATCTTATATGATTCAATGATCATTAAAAATCATCTTTTAAATAGTCCACATATTTGCTCAAACTCAAAATGTAAAGTAAGAGGTCAAAAAGACATACCAATAGCAAACAGTAGTATTAAAAACAGTAATAAATGTAAAAAAATAAAAATAAAATTTGAACTTGGAATCACACAAGACCAGGGTAAGTCAAAAGATTTCTGATTATTTTATAATTTCCATCAATATTAACCTCTAATTGCACTGGAAGTTTAAATATCAATAACATAAAGCATTATTTACTCCTTCGTTTTAAAGTATGCTAGATTAAATAATGTTTAATTATGCTGTTTCCACGCAGTTTGTTAAGAAAAAGGGTAATATTTCAGTAGATAAAAGGACTATGTTTTAAAATAAATAAGTAATTTTTAAATGCTATTAATTTTTTCAACTCATAACACTTTCTGCCATCATCTTGATGTTAACTTATAAAAATCAGAAACTTTCCTTGTTCAATAGGAATGCTGTGGGGTAGGTGGTGGTGAAGGTAATGGTATGGTCTTTAAATGTTCGTGACTGCTACTTGAAAACATGTATTTAAAAAAGTCCATGTGGGAATTTCTATTTAGAAAGGTGCATGTGTTAAAATACACAATAACTTTCAGTAATTTTTAAATCATGTTCGTTAGGCTATTAGAAAACCGTATTTTTTGTATATTCCCTATTAAACTCCACAGAAGAGTTAAAACTTTAAACAAAATAATTTTAACTGATAGATAATTGCATTATAATAAGTTCCAAATTCTCAAAAGGCAGTTTTGGGTTGTTTTTTGTTTTGGGTGTTTTTTGGTAGAATCAAAGATACAGAACAATGATTTATAATTTAGGTAAAGTTTAGATACTACACTGGCACAATTTTAATTATGCCAAAATTCAAAATTAGCAGGCCTTTTGGTAATCTGGTCCTTTGGTTAGAACAGTATTTACTTTTAATTCCTAAATTGGCCCAAATATAAGGTGACATCGATTTTAGAAGAAACCTCCCCAATTTCCACAGAGATGAAAAACATAAAAATACACAACACGCACACCATTTTAAAATTAAATCATTACTCAAAAACAAAACAAAACAAAACAAAACAACCAAAAATCACACCATCATCATATAGTTGCCTTCACAGCAAATGAGTAACACCTGTGGAAACCGGTGTGGGAAGAAACCCTGGTTCTTCTCTGCTGTTTCTTTAAAAACTACCACTCACCTGCCAGTGGGTGAAGGAAGCGGGAAGGGTATAAAGCAGACATGAAAATAGAAGTGAAAGAAGGGTTTGTAATGCTGCTAGATATTGGAGAGATGTAGATATTGGAGAGAGGACAGAAAGGGGAAGAGGCAGGGAAGAAATAGAGGGTAAGATTGCTAAGAGCTCTCCATGAAGTTAGATGGGACAGAAACAGAGACTGCTGACCCTCTCGGCACTGGAGGCCTAAAAACATTCCTAATATATTCAATAATAGACTTTTATTATTATTATTTCCCATAAAACAACATGCCTATATTTGGGCCAATAAGATATTTAAAAGCAACCAAAATACAGCAAATATCACCAAAATGGTATACTTAGCACACACCAAAGTCATCTGATTAATGTATATGCAATGTTCCCTTGACAAGAATATCCTTTGCATATAATTTCATAAAGGGTTAGTGAATTCCCACATTAAGATCTCAAAAGTGTCAGTTTAAATTACTGTTTTTAAAGCTTAAACAAACAGAAAATGTTATCAGCCCTGCACTCCAAGATATGATTCAAATTTCCTGCTTTCATAAAAACAAGAGCAGCTAGTGTTTTGCTATCCATCAAATAATACTGCGAAAAATGGGATATGCTGTGTGACTGTCACCACTGAGCCTGAAGACAGACTCACCAACTCTTGTGCCTCATCTCATTCATCTGGCATTGCTGTATCATGCAACTTTATCTATATAACCTAACAGAGTAAGAGGCTTAAAACATACATATTTGATTAAAAAGAAACCATATGAAAACTTGTCATGAATTTACTTGCATATTTTCCCCTTTTCTTGGTCCTTTCTTCCTGCCTCATGTTTCCAATCCATGGAATGAAAAGGGGGGAAAGTGTTCAAATCATTGAACCTGCCCTGAAACAGCAACCAAGGCAGCTTTTCTGTGGAAACTGATTCGTCATTCTTGGTGTGGAGGAACCAGAGGATCAGTACTGACTCTTGAAATCACTTTTCTATGTCCCTTCCAATCTCCTTCACTCCCCTTTACCTACCACCCACTTACTGCTCCTCCCTTCATTATTTGTCCCTTGGTTATTTTTGGTTGGAGGTAGATCCAAATCGATGGCTCCTCAATATATGGGAAGTCTGGTAGAGCAGAACTACACTGAATTTTCTTCTCTTGAACCAAGTGCTGAAGCTCTAAGTCCCACCCCCCCCCCCCCAATCTTGACCAAACTCTTCTTGGTTTGCCCAGGATTTTCCCGGTATTAGCACTGAAAGTCCCACGTCCTTGAGCAAGCCAACATGACTGGACACCTTGATGTGGACCAACTTCTGTACAGGGACTGTCGCCCTCTTAACTCTTGCCTTTTATCTTCCAGAAATGTATTTAAAATTCTGTTTAAAACAAAATCTCTTTCTCTTTGTCTTCTGTTTCTCTGAAAGGAGTCAGAATTACTAGACCCCATGGCAAATCTACTTTCTTACTGATAATTAAGGCAGAATGAATCACTTTTCTTTAGCCATTAAAGCTGAAATTCTCCTAGGATTAAAGAAAGTTATTTAGAGATAAGCTCCTGATTCATGCAAGATACTGCTTCAGAGGGGAAGTTATGCAAGCAAGCCCAACAAAGCCATTGAAATGGAACTGTTCTTAAAAATTTAACCTACACATTTTTCCTCTAAATTTGGTTTCTTTGGAACTCTGCAGTGGGGGGAAAAAAAAAAAAGGCACAGCTGGAACATTTGGAGGGTGTTAAGTCCAGAAACTGAATCCAAAAAATGTTATTAGAAAGAAGTGCCATGAGGGAACAAATGTGGGTTACCTCTGACAGCTCGCCAAGTAATTGCTATTAGGAAAATGGAGCAAATCAAACCAAATGAGAAAGTTAACACAGGAGATGGAACTAAAATAATATCAATTACAATTCACATCAAATATCAGAACACGTGCGCAAATTAGTTTTTTGACAGTAAAATTACCTGCCCACCAATCAACCAGTGAAGGTGCTTGTAAATATATAATTAGTTTCCATCATTCTTATCTAGCCATGGAAACTAATTATATAGAATCATGCTACGGTATAAAGAGTATAGAGTATTTCAGTAACTATTTGTACGTTAGTGTACTGTGTTTTTAAAATATTAAGATAGGTTCATCTTATTCTTACAACTTATAAAGAATACAATTAGAGCAGATTAAATATAAAGCTAATCCCTCTTTAAAAGCTGACTTTACAAAAGGAAATATATATCATTTAGTGAGCTTTAGGTTTAAACTTGTAAGCAGTGTAAACAAACAAAATTTTATAATTCTGCACATGTGCATGTTGGGCAGTCATTACTATATATATAAATAGTAATCATATGTGGTCATCTATATCTATATAATAGATATATAGATACATATATATATAGACAGAGAGAGAGAGCACGCAACAGAGAGGGAGGGAGAAGACTATTCAAATTATTACAAGAAATACTTGGGAAAATGTCAACACATAAGGCAAAGTAAAAAGTAAGCATGCTTATCTAAAAACCATGCCTCTAATTAATAGATGAATAGAATGTTCGGAGATTAATTTTAAAAAACACATTTTAAAGAACTGAATATTATCAGGAAGTTGGTCTGCTGGAATGAATATGAAAACATCTTTAGTAAAATGGTCACTGTCTATCTAGTAGTATCTGAATATCGGGACTGAGCTTGAAAAACAGAGCATTCATAACATGGGGTGAAATTAGTACCACTAGGGGTTTAAAGTCACCCAGAGGAAATATTTCCCTTTCTAATCTAGGGCTATTTAAACATGCATAGAGAAAAATACCAAATGTTTATATCTAGACTGGAGTGTGGAGATCATGAAAGTTGACAACCCCCTCCATTTCACAGCTGAGCAAACTGGAGCACAGAAAAATAAAACGCTTTCTTTAAGGTCACACAGCTCGTTAGTGACAGAACCAGGACTAGAATCCTGGACTATCAATATCTAGATTGGGGCTTTTTCCGTACTATCACAGTATCTCTTGCTAGGAAACAGAAGACAGGAAACTTTCTGTTTAATTCACGGGACCGTAGTGACCAAATAATCATAATTATTTGCACCTTGGTAGAGTAAGAGTATCTATAATAATAATAAGCACATAGACTTAATAATAATAAATGAAAGACTTCAGTCAAGCCTTTGAGTACACCAGAAATAATAGCAGGGAGGGTTCAGTTTCTGCTCTCATACATCAAGAGAATCTATATGGGCAAGAAGGTAACGCGAGTAGAAGAAGAGTCACAGTGCCAGAGGTCTGGGAATCAAGTCAAAAGAAATATCAGGAAACTTTACGTGGCAAGTAGATTCCAGATGGGGAGAAAGCACCCTGGATATCCATCTGTTGCCCAGCTAAAATACAACAAAGTCCTAGAATGCTCAACAACAAAATTTTTATCAACACGTATGTCATTTATCTTCATTTCTCCATAATCTCTCGTAAGCACCTACTTCCTTTTCCCTGTGATTTCGCTAAATCTTTTTTAGTGTTCCATATCTTTCATAAATTCTTCATTACCTCCCTCCCTTTTATTTTTAAAATTTTGTGGAACCCATGGGGGAAACACATTCGGTGGGAATGGCAGTCTTTACAGAGCTGTTAAAAATCACTCCAAATGTGAGGATATTAAATAACCTAGACTCTCAGGGACATCAGGTGGCAATTCCACACCTATTAACTTCTGTTGCAGGTACTAGCATCCCTGCTGTCAGAAGAGAATCTCTAACCCCAAGTGTGCGAACAGACAAGTGCTGCCCCACCCCACCCCTGCCCAGGGACCGCCATTAGTCCTCACAGGAAACACGGGGGTATGAAAAAGAAGAGTCACAACTCTGTGCATTTTCAAAACACTGGTGACTTATAGATGCTACATGGAACAGTTTACAGCTAATTCCCTTATTCTGACCATTCACAAAATGTCTACTTTCTAAGTAAATTATGTAACTTGGATTGTTTTCCTAAACGATGAAAAAAAATGAAAGAATTGATGAAATCCAAGGAACCGATGGGTAAGGCAGAAATCCCATTCTGAGGATGGTTAACTATCAGATTAACTTTTATCACAGGACAATGCATGGTAAAACTATTTTGAGAAAATGTCCCTGAAGCATTCATGTAGTGAAAACCATATGTATATACAAAGTGAGAAAACACTCTTTTCTAAGCCCGATTCCCCATGGGCTCTGAATCCAGAGTTCTGGGTTCCCAATCCTGGCTTCAAGCAGCTATGTAACTATGGGTGACTTACTTTCCCATACCTCAGTTTCTTCATATATAAAATGTGCCTAACTTCGTCAGATTTGTTGTGGGAACTGAATATTTGTGAAGTCCTTAAGCAATGCCTGGCCCACAGCGTGAGCACTGACCACTGGCACTTGCTACTTGGGAGGTAATACTGTTGCTATCTGTGCACGTGAAGGGATCTGAAGCAAATCGGCACTACAGATCTTTCTGCAGCACAGTACAGGGATCTAAAATGTTTTTGCAAGAAGTAGTTTCCTTAAATTCCTTCAAAATTTTTATCTCAATGAAGAGAAGATACCAGGGAAAAAGTATGTCATCCATTTCTGAGGAGAGAGAGGGTCACCGCTCGTCATACTCCAAGCACAAAGGAGCAAAGCCGTGGCAGATGGGTTGCAGGCTTTTTTGGAGGATCTGCTCAATGCTAGGCTTTCTGTCCTCCTTCCTTTTCATCAAATGCAAGATCCTGGCACTCAATAAATATTTGGGAGGTGAATGAATGAAGAGATGAATAAGACACAGAATTGCTTGTTGGTTTGTCTGTAATCCAGTGGAGTTCTCTAAGGATCACTGGAATCTACATAAATATAGGGGTACCTTTAATTATCATCTCAAAATAAGCTACAGAGTTTTCTTTAGATATTTTAGATAAAGATTTAGATATTTCTTTAGATATTTTAGATAAATAACTGCTAACGCTGTTATTACAGATATAAAGTGGCTGGCATATATTTCCAAGGATGCTCTTCTTTTCCAGCTTACTTTATCTAGTCACTGTGTGTGTGTTTATTACAAATGCTTTGAGAAGAGGAATTCTTTTAGAGTAGGATTTATGCCAGTTAGCAGATTGTCAAGCCTACTTATTAAAATTTTACAAAATTTTGGTGGTTTTGTTGGGCTCAGCCCAAAGTTTTCAGGAGCTGTTAAAAAATAAACTGCTTTTAATAAAATCTTTTAAAGTAGGGCTCTTAACCTAAACACACACACACACACACACACAGCTTCTATAATGTTTCCACATGCATTATGTATTCAGAGTTGCATCCAGAAATTTTTAGAAGACAGTCAGATAGTGTTGAAAAGTTTAAAAGGAAACAGCCCAAGCAGGCAATACCCACACATTTCTATTTACATAAAGTAGCAAAACAAACTCCTGAAACTTGTGAGCACTTAAAAAATTTCTTGGTTGTGCCAAAGTTGACAAAAATATAAGATGAGGCTCTGTTCAAGAAAAGAGGGATAGATTTTTATGCTCTCAAAAAGTACTCTCCTTACCTAGGATATGGATTAATAGTTCTACTTCAGTTTTAAACAGAAGCAACCATTAAACAGAAACATCAACTGATGGCTCAGGCCAAGAGTCAGAATTGAAGATAAAGACAAGACTGTACATAAATAGGCAAAGGTAAAAGAGGTTAAATTCATTAGGAAATCTCAGGTGGGAGAAAATACTTAGAATTGATATTATTTACAAGTTTTAGGTATTGGATTGGATTTGCTTATTCCTAGCAACCGTGCACACACACACACACACACACCCCTCACACACAAACTTGAGTAATTGTTTTTAACTCTAAAGTATAAACTCTTGGCTCCTGATCATATGCAGCATCCAGGGATAACCTTTGTGAACAGTGTTTCTTATAGCTTCTCACAAGCTAATTGCTAAAAACATTCCATAAGTTCAAAGGGTATATACTCTCTATCACCGTTTTAGGCATATATTTCAAGCATATACTCTTTAACCCTGCTTAAGGCATTTGGTCTAAATCTCTACAGGAAAGAATGTAAAGAACTGGCATTTATAAGCCAGGCAGGAGCCTATGTTATGTCAAGTAACTACAACTCAAAATCAGAAAAGAAGTTAAGAAAGAAAAAGGTATTCAGACTAAGTGAGAAAATTCACTTCAAAAATCCACAGGAAATAGAGCAGACCATACCTTGAATAACTCAAACTCCTTCTTTGGCATCAACAGCTAATGACAAATGATGAACATAAATTAAGTACATAATACATATGCACATCAGACCAGACAAAACAAGCAGAGCAAACAGAATTTCCACTGCCATCACTTTAGGTCATCAAGATACATAAATTGGACACGAATTCTTTATTTTAAGTTTGCTTGACTCTTGGATTCTAATAAGGCCAAAGGTCACTCTAAATAAGTACAGGACATGTACTCAACTTGAACGCCATGAGGAGCCAAAAATAACTAAATGAATGGTCATGGCAGTGGCAGAGTATGATCACAATTCTAGGTTTGGACAATCTGTATCTTACTAAGCCTAGACCTGGCATGAAAATTAACTATTTCACAGCATATTTATTCTATGTAGCTTCTACTCAAATTTATGGCCCAACATCAGCTGTGATCTTTTGCTCAAGAGTCTGACAATTAAAATAATTCTTCCTGGGGGCCCGATATAGAAGCCACCATAGGTTCACAGGCTACACCTGAGATTTTCCCTCCATTCTGCCTCTGCTAGCAGACCAGACTCTAGAGATTCTGTCACAGGTCAAAAATCCCAAGGGTTTAATAATGAGTGAGTTCAGATGATAGGATGAATGAGATACCCAGGGTCACCAAAGTCCTGAAAATGTGGCAAAACTTACTTATGACCAAGGAGAGAGAGCCTGACCTATCTACCCTATATCATAAGTGTATGTTAATCATAAAATCAAGACAGGAAACGTATTATAGTCCAACTGAATACTCATGGGTTAGTGTAAGGGGAGAAGAGTGCAAGTTCAAGGTTAGTCAGTGGCGGAACATTTAAGAGAATGAGGGCAAAAGATGGAGAAGATGAGCTGCTGGACACCCCAGCTGTTACAGTGCCACCCTCTATCCAGAGGAAGCCACTGGATAGGAAGGCTCTGGGCAAGAGTAAAGAGGCAGAAATACTGCTTCTCCACATGTCAGGAGCATTGTAGGATGGGCAAAAAATAGCATTCAGAGAAACAGTCACTTGCTGGTAAACAGTGTGAGCAATTTTCTGAAGAAATAAATCAGAAAAAACATATTCTTCCCTGTATCTTTCACCATTGCCCTTCAATTACCCTAGGAAAAAAACTATACAAATTGTACAACAAATTAAGTCTCAAAATGATTAATACACAAAAGGTATTTAAATACCATTGAAAAGTGATGAATATGAAAGTTTATGAAAGTTAAATTTTGGTAAAAAGTTGTAAATACCTGTATGGTATGCGTGTAAGGTGGATCAGCACGCCCTAATCCTGATTCTGGAGGTCTCACAATATCCAAAATGTTATTTGGCACAAATCCAGAGTCTCCACTTGCATTTCGAACTTTCCACCACTGCTTTCTATCATCAAGGATCTGTCATCACGCAAAAAGATAAAGGCATCATTCCATACCAAAACCAATCTATGAAAGAAATTCAATTTTCATTCCTTAGACCAAGAAACTCTTTTCACTTTTAATAAACTGGCTTACTATCAACATACTGTGGGTTGAATGATTCCCAGGAGTTACACTAATAATTATAATCACTAGTAGAGGACAGGTATGGAACCACCACTATCATGAATATACCTGAGGTCCTCATTACCTGCCAAGAATGTTGAACTATTTGCATTATCTGAAGTACTTATAGATGACTAAGATGACTTGCTTGGAGAGGTCTTTTGTCTACATCCTTTGAATAGGAAGGGACAGTATGAAAACCATTACTTTTCACAAAAACCACTGTCACTATCCTACATTATTTATCAAAGAAGATGAACTCTCCGTTATGACCTAAGAAAGAGATTTGGGAGTCATGGTAGATTATTCCCAGAATCATTAGCTTACTCGCTGATGGTATATTTGTGCGAGGGTACTAGGACAGGAAGAAAAAAAAGTGTTCTTATTAAAATATTATGATGCGTCTACATAACTAGCCTTGGTTACAAAATGAATAAAGCCCAGAAGAAGAAAGAGGACAAAGTAAGCCAAGAAATCCAACCTCTGTCCTCCACAACCCCATCTCTGTCCTCCACCCCCTCCCCCAGAAAAACCCAACAAACAAAAAAATAAGATAAAGCAGCTCCCCCTCCTAAATAGATATAAGCATCTATAATATACTTTTATCCTTGATAAAATAAAATAACACCGAAGAATAATTTCTTGACCTCCGCATTTCTTTGAGGAAGGTTTAGATATATACCAAAAGAGGAATACAATAAATCCATTTTATTAAGAGTATAAAAAAGGTAAAATTCTATTACCTCTAAAATATCATCCTTTAGAACTGAGAGCTCACTGCTGTTCCTTGCCACAAAGTCATACTTGGATTTGGCATATTTCTTGGGTTGTGCTTTGAGTGGATCATAATTTCTATAAAAAGAAAAAGAAATTATCATTCAGCTAGCTCTTCCTAAAGGCTAAAAATAGAAGTAAAACATTAAGGCAAGCTAATTCCTACCAGAAAACATTCTGACAAATTATTTCAAGAGTAGTTTAGCTTATCACATTACATAGAATATGAGAACTAAAAAAAAAACTCTGGAGTTCTCACTATTAAAATGAGCAAACTATGGCTAGGGCAAAAATAAATAATGCAAAATCACAAGGTTAGTGGGTACTAAGCCAAATCTAGAACACAAATCTATGAGTTCTTTGTCCATTAAATATACTGGGATATTGCTTTGTCAATTAGCATCTCCACCATGGAAGAACTGGGACAAAGATCAGTATTAGCATTTTTTATAAAACTAAAGGAGAATGAAGATAATCTCCATGGTGGTAATTTAAATTATATGTTTATTTCACTTTTCAAGCAATGTCTTTAATTCATATTAAAAAATTATGACTGTCAATTTTTATTGACAATGAAAGCTCTGTCCAGTTCCTAAATTGCAAGGGAAGGTGTAGATTACATACAAGACTAATAACACTTCCTAATTAATTAATTCCCTATAAACTTATTTTAATAGTAAGAACAGGTCCAAGAGTCCTATGTTTTTTTAAAAACAAAACTTTCTCAAAGAACCAAATACTTCCTTTTAATCATTAAATGACCATTAATAGATTTAACATAATTTTAAAAATACTTCTATATATAATACAATAAAACTTGGTATATCAACAATGTACTGATAATAGTTTATTCATTTCAGTAATAAAATAACTTTAACTGTTTCTTATTAATTTTACTCCCTCTTCTCCTTCATTTACCTTTCCACATTTCCTTACTCATTTCTACAAGAGAAAAAGCAGAAAGGAACTAAAGATGTTTGTTCATCATTCCCTGTCAAGTGGCCCACCAGGGTCCTCTGGAATCACAGCAGGGCCAGCATTATAATTGTGGACACAATGTATCATGTCATCACAGGTAATCTGCAATCTCTTAGCAACTCCAGAAGAGATGAGGGACAATGAAAAAAACGGCCCCTAAGCTCTTCTACCAATTGGCCATTTTTGATATATTAAAAAATAAGAAAAAGTGAGAAAAGTAACATTATAGCCAAATAATTATTGTATAGTAATAATAATTTAAAAACTGTTCCATGGGCTTCCCACCCCTATTCCCTAGTTTATATGTTTACATTCTACTTAGATTTCATTTGCGGGGGGGGGGGGGGAGTTCAACCACTTCAAAAGTCAGAAAAGCAGTAATTTCAGTGTCCTTTCTTCCTTCCCCTCAAGTTCCCCCCTTCCGTGATCTAGAAAACAATCACTATTAATAATAGAGAGTTGAGTACACTATAACAAAAGATAGAATAACTCTCTGCCACTGTGTATCTGAACCAGCAAGTTAAAAAGAAAAGTTTCCTGTAGTTCTTGAAGTCTTTGTTATCTTGAGTGTCTCAGAGGTGACTGCCCAGCATGCACTTTGTAAAGTGCTTTAGAATCTACAAATCTTCATGGTTTACAATTTCTTGTCCACTACAGATTAAATTTAGCTATGATACTGACCACAGTAATCAATCTGAAAATCATACTTTGTAATTTTTCAGATACATGAAAGTTTCTTAAGAGATCTATAATGTATCAAAATGTATGGCTTTGGAGTAATAAATATGCACTTGATAGAGAGCTGACGTGGAGTCTGCAATGATTGGAGACAACTCTAAAACACAAACTGCTTTTGGATACCAGTAAACTATAATCCCTCAAAGGTGAGGGCTCTAAATTCAACAGGTGGTTTACCTAATGGCATGGTAAGTTTCACTAAAGAATGCCTATACTTTGCATGGCGTTTACTGCATTCCAGGGATGTAACAGAGTTTAGGGTAATAAAAATAATTATAAAAGCAAATTCCAAAGAAGAAAAGGAAAATATTAGGATGAGTAGTAAGTTAGTCAAGAAGAATTTCAATGAAATAATTTTTAAACTTCAAAAATAATTTTCATGTATTATCTACTAAAAATTGAATCTATAATTAAAACTTCCTTCATATGTTGGCATTTTCAAAATGTATTATTCATTGCTGACTTTATACTCAATCTAATATGTTACTGGTGTCCTTAGGGTAATATCTGTAAAATTTCCACACCAGTTACTTAAGTACTACCTCCATTATCATTCCTAACAAAAATCAAACATTTTAAATCCCATCTTCTTTAGATTCTATTAAGAAAAAGGTATAATGAGAAGAAGGAAAGGGAATGCAACATTCATGGTGAGTGAGGCTTTGAGGTAGGAAGGTAGCAGGGCAAGTTCTCTACCCCACTTCATCTGAATGACCATTCTCCCATATTTTTTTTTTTCACTTCCTGTTCTTTCTCTTTTGTAGATGGGTTGGCCACAATGTCAACCTCATTAGCTGAGGCTGGTAAACAAGACTGAAGAGGTGAACCTACTCCAGTGCCTTTATTTCTCCTCCATCTCAATTCTCCATCTTTGCCCACACTGAATTTTTTTCAAGAGTGAAACTATGGGAAAATAAATGAAATATAAAACTGGAAAGTAAAAATACAATATAATAAGATGAAATGGCAAGAATGGCAAATAAGGCACTGACTCCTTCTAAATATTTAGTTTATACTTAGAAATAGGTCTATCTAAAGGAAGATTTGTTTTTGTTGGGGGAGAGAATGATGGAAATTGTTTCCTTTAAAAGTTACAGAGCTAGAAAGATCCTTAGAGACCATCTGGTATAAACTAACGGAGAGTTTCAAAAACAATTCTTCTTTCTTAATTCAGATTTTGTCAGACCATCTTTTTGAAAAGGGAAAGTCATCCAAAGGCATTTGCACTAAATTAGAGTTATAGGCTGGAGGTTTTCCAGTAAGAATTATAGAATAGAGGCTTTGTTTATTAAAGCCAATTCTATAAAGGAACAACTGAAACAATTAACAGATGGAAAGTTTAAAGAAGTAGTGAACAATGCAGACACCGGGACCTCTATTTGCACTAAATCAGAGACAGTTATCCGCAGCTCTCCAAGTGGTGCCCGTGAAATGTTACCTATCTACGTGGCGATTAGGAGTTGGCTTAAAAGCCACAACCGCTTCCCCTTGGTCCGGATGGGGCCCTCTTGTGTACATGTTATTGAATGCATACCCATCAGCTGGAGGATACTCTGATACACTGGACTGCTGAAAGACAGAGGGAAGAGAGATTAAAGAGTCGCTAAGGCTATTGGAATGACCACTAATATCAGTCAACAAAACCTTCCACTATATTGTGATCAGTTTCTCAATTTCAAGTGTTTGACCATTATTAACAAGTTATGAAAAGGGGGTGATATATTTTGGTCAAAGACCTATTTATAACAGGAAAAGTCATTAGTACCAAAGCTAAATTGTAATTCTGAAAATAAGTGGGTATACAAGCAATAAATTCTTTCCTCAGGAATTTCAGTAATAAGTGATTTTGGTAGTAGGTAGACTTTAATGGCTTACATAAAATAAAACTGGTTTAAAAACAACAATAAAACTCTTCCCCCTTGCTCTCTGTGTTTAAGGAACAGACCCTTACCACTCTAGCAAAGTAAATAATACCACATGAAAATCATCTAAACCCTGCATTAAAATTATACTACATTTCATTTTTTAAAGATACACAGACCCTATTTTTTTTATTTTTTAAAAATGGCAGCTACTATTATCAGATTTACTGTTGAGGGAAATACAGAAAGACAGAAGGAAATACAGAAAGACAGAAACACATTAATCTTGACAATCAATACAGGATAAGACAATGCTGAAGTAATTCTTTTTTGTAGTTACCCAATTCCAACATGAGCCCACTGGGTGCTACCAGGAGGGGGAACTGAGGTCTACGGGCCCCAGTGAGCACATGGTTTCAAAGCTATGGGGAAAATAAGAAACAGAGACAAAAAAAAAAAAAAACAAACAACCCATTCATGTAAAGATTTTATGCTGTTTCCTTATATGTAATCAAGTATGGAGGAGGCACAATAGACCATGAAGTACTGGAAGTCCTTGGCTATTTAAATTGCTTATGAACTCATTAGAGCAAAATATTTGAAACTGGAAATGTTTTAGAAAAGTCTTAGATACATGTTTACTATAGTTCATCCTAATGACAGAGTTGGCAGGAGTAGGGATATGTTTAAACACTGATGGTATAGGTGAGGTTTCTCCAATGGACTAGTGTGGATGTCAAAATACCCACACTATATTACTCCTTTAGAATATGCTTAACACACAAATGCAAAGAAACAGTTTTCACCATTTAAATACCTTAGCTTAAATCATCAACAAAATGAAAAGGCAACTATAAAATGGGAGAAAATATTTGCAAATCATATATCTGATAAGGACTAAAAATCCAAAATATATGAAGAACTCATATAGCTCAAGAGGAAAAAACAAACAAACAAAAAATCCATCCAGTTAAAAAATGGGCAAAGCAACTGAATAGCCATCTTTCCAGAGAAGACATACAAATGGCCAACGGGTACATGAAAAGGTGCTCAACATCCCTAATCATCAAGGAAATGTAAATCAAAATCACAATGAGTTGTCACCTCACACCTGTTGGGATGGCTATCATCAAAAAGACAAGAGATAACAAGTGTTGGTGAGGATGTGGGAAAAAAAGGAAACCCTTGTACACTGTTGGCAGGAATGTAAATTGGTGCAGCTGCTATGGAAAACTGTATGGAGGAGATTGCCTGGGGGACTCAGTCGGTTAAGCGTCCAACTTTTGATTTCAGCTCAGGTCATGATCTCCTCGTCATGAGATTGAGCCTGTGTCCGGCTCTGTGCTCAGTAGGGAGTCTCCTTGGGATTCTCTCTCTGTCTGCTTCTGTCCCCAACACTCAGCTCACACAAGCTCTCTCTCTCTCAAAATAAATGCATAAAATCTTAAAAAAAAAAAAAAACAGTATGGAGGTTCCCCCAAAAATTAGAAATAGAACTACCATACTATTCAGCAGTCCTGCTACTGGGTATAATAGTAAAAGAAATGAAATTAGGATCTTGAAGAGATATCTGCATCTCCATGTTCACTGCAGCCTTGTTCACAATACGGAAACAAGATAAGTGCCCATCAACATATGAATGGGTAAAGATATGGTATAAATATACAACGGAATATTATTCAGCTATGAGAAAGAAGCAATCTTGTTATTTGCAACAACACAGATGGACTCTGAAAGCATTCTGCTAAGTGAAATAAGCCAAAGAGGAAAAGAACAATACTGCATGGTATCACTCACATGTGAAATCCAAAAAAAAAAAAAAAGTTGAACTCATAGAAACAGAGTAGAAAAGTGGTTGCCAAGAGCTGGGGGAAATCAGAAGAAGTTGGTAAAAGGGTACAAACTTTCAGCTATAAATGAATAAGGTCTGAGGATCTAATGTAAAACATGGTGAGTACAGCTGATAACACTGTATTGTGTAATTACAATTTGCTAATAGAACTTCAATGTTCTCAACAAAAGAAAAAAAGATAAGTATGTGAGGTGACAGATGTGTCAATGTGCTAATTAACTAGATTGGGGGGGGATCCTCTTGCAATGCATATCAAATCACCAGATGAACACCTTAAATATCTTACAATTTTGTCAATTATACCTCAATAAAGCTGAAATTAAAAATGACAAATAAGGGGGTGCCTGGGTGGCTCAGTCTGTTAAGCATTTGCCTTCAGCTCAGGTCATGATCCCAGGATTCTGGGATCCAGCCTCGCATCGGGCCCCCTGCTCAGCGGGGAGTCTGCTTCTCCCTCTCCCTCTGCTGCTCCACCCACCCCCGCTTGTGCTCACTTTCTCTCTCTCAAATAAATAAATAAAATCCTTTTAAAAAAGACAAATAAGTAGCTTAATTAATTCAGTTTATCATTTCCTAGTTGAGAGGAGAGGCACTAGATGATTAGGCAATGTTTTATAAAGAGGGTGTTAGAATCACCCTCACCTTTGGCTAACTCTGAACAGAACCAAGTGAGGTCAGTCAGCATGGGATCACTGGGTCCTGAGAGTGACTAGAAATATTGCAAGGGAGGAGAGAAATGATGACGTATGTCTACCTGTGATGACTACACAAGCTTGTTTAGGGCTGCTTGCTGCTGGTTCAGAGGAAGTAAAAAAGTTGAGTATTGCCACCCATGTTTGACACCCCACGTCACCCAAGCCTTTCGATTCTACACAAAACCACCAGATCCTGAATCATCCAAGTCTTGTCCTGAGTGTATTTATTTTAGTAGCAATAAAGTATAATAAAGTTCCTCTTCTGGGGATGATTGCATTTTTTATGCATTTTAAATCACCATTAGTTGGCCTCTTTTCCAACAAAACCTTATGGCATAAAAATCCCCTAAAACAGCTAGCAGGTCCTTTTCATTTCATTTTTTTACACCTCTGGATAAGTACGTAAGCCATAAAATGGAAAACAGTTTACAACAGGAAAGTGATAACTCATCACAAGGAAAGAGTCTCAATAATTCTTCCTTTAAAATTACTTCTTCCATGAGAGTAGACAACTTTCACACTGGAAGCCCAGAACACATGACTCTCTCTTTAAATATGCAAGTTTTTGAAAAAGAACCCACGGAAGTGAATTTCTGAGGCAATACATTAAGTGGATCTATTTTCTTATTTAAGATACAAAGACTGTAAGCTAGAAATTTCTGTGATTTGAAAATAGTCGGCTGTAACTATAGCAACAAGTGTGTCATAATTTCATGTTCAATTACATCTTTTTTCCTCTAAAAAAGTTGCCCTCTATGAGTAAAGGAAATCCACAGTGCTGAGGTCTGAACTATAAAATCCACACTGCTGAGGTCTGGAGAGGGACTGCCAACCAATGCAAAGGCTCTGAGGTCATTGTCTTAATCACTTAGAAGGGACAGCAGTTAGAGACTCTACCCTTCGATGTGCCAGAGGAAAAAACAATTACATTAGAAAAAAATATTTGTCTTCAAAGCAGTGTATTTGCTTTATTTCTGAAGTTTCAAAATTTAACCAATCTTCTATATTATGGTTACTGTCCAAGGGACTGATTTTTAAAAAATTAATTTATGTGTTTTTCCTTAAAAGTGAAGATTTACTCTGGTTTGTTAATCATTCCTTCATATCATGTTTGCTATATTATAAATACCCACAGCACTCTGAGAAAATTAATCTATGGAATTAAATAAAGGAAATGAACTGGACTTCAAGGAGGATCTAGTCATCATTTACTGTTTCTTCTCCAAACTAGACCTCATTCATCTGATTCCTTGGGTTCTGATCCTTCTATTTGGTTTGGTTCAGCTTTAAGCAATGTTTGATTTTCTTTTCTGACAGAACAAGAAAGAGTCACAGGAAAATCATTTTTAAGAAATGTGCAGAGATAACTTACCCAATTTCAATCTCTCAATTTGCTCCCCAAATAGGTTATACTCTAAAGCTTACTAAATACTTAAAAGGCACAATAAATTTTGTGATCTCCTCAGGGTGTATTAGGGTTATAAATGATCATTTGAGCCCGGGGACTGAGTCCAGAAGACACTCTGGCCTTCTAGCCAGGCTGAGAAGGTTTCGGGGTTTAGAACTAGGTAGAAGGAAGGAGGAAAGGAGGGCAGGAAGGAAGGAGGAAGGAGGGAAGACACGGGACATTTGGGAGAGCTGCTTGGGACAGGCTTCAGGGACCTAGGTTCAGGGAGCTGTCTTAAGGGTCTGACGATGGAGAGAAGAACAGAAAGAACAAGCCAAGCAGCAGTGGGGCAATTCTCTGACAGGGGGAGAAAGCAGGCACTCACAAATTGAAACGGGATCACCAAGGCTCAGGGAACACTAGCAGGTGGGTAGGGGTGAGTGCTAACAGGACTCTAAGGCTGGCGTTAGACTTCACAGGGAAACAAAGCAACTGTCACGGCAATGACAAAGAGGTGAGAGGTAACCAAGGGCAGCAGGACATATAGTCATTGGTTCTAGAACAATCTTCAGATCAATAAAATGAGAACTCACAATCAGAATTACAAGAGAATGCACAGGTTATTGCACTTTCTACAAAAAGTGATGCTAGGGCGCCTGGGTGGCTCAGTTGGTTGGGTGACTGCCTTCGGCTCAGGTCATGATCCTGGAGTCCCGGGATCGAGTCCCGCATCGGGCTCCCTGCTTGGCGGGGAGTCTGCTTCTCCCTCCGACCCTCCCCCCTTTCATGCTCTCTCTCTCTCTCAGTCTCTCTCTCTCTCAAATAAATAAATAAAATCTTTAAAAAAAAAAAAGTGATGCTAAACAACTTTACCTCTGTGGATAATCTTTTTGTCTCCTGTTTGCGCTGATGTTCTGCTACATTTGCCACAGACTCAGCCAACTGATAAAGATCTTGTTCCATCGGTGCGCCCATGAAGCTGAGCATGGGAGGCTCCCAACCGTTGCGGAACCGCGGGACATATGGTGGGATGAACTGCTCTTTTGGCCATTCTGCTCTGTAGACGGACAGTAAGGCACAAAATTAAGAAATGTATCCATGTTCAAAATTACTTTCAATAAGGTTAGCCACAAAAAATAAAAACAGATAACAACAAACAGAAACAAAGCATACCTCATCTGCCCTCTCTCTCTTCAAAAAGGGAAAGTGAACATGCTTATACTAGTCTGTAATGCCAACAAAATGAAAGGAAGATTGAATCCTGCTTCATGATCTGTTTTCAGTACACTGCCTCAATTCTCCATTAATTCAGTTATGTAACATGGATATAGGTTTTGAAAATTTGGAAAAGGAGCATGAGGCTAGAAGTGTTACAAGTATTTAGAACACGAACTTCTCCTGTATCTAAAGTAGTTTCAGATTCTTATCTTTCCCTTCCTTCCCCTCCCTCGGTATGAACCCTCCTGGTATCAGATATATCTTTCAAAAGAGAAACAACAGAGAATGTTCTTAACATTTATGATTTTTTTAAGTTACAAAGTCCCCTAAATGAAACATTACCAATTTTATAAATTAAATTTATCAGTGAGCTTTTAATCAGTAAAATCAAGTTAGGACTAATCTGGAATCATAATCATTACCCGTTCATTATTTAATGACTCTAAGCGAGGCTTATTTCTACAAGCTCCTAATCATTCATGAACCACAAAAATAACTGGGACAGAAATTATAGCTTCATCTCTGCTATACTATGTTGTTTTATCTTTCACGAGTGAAAGATTAATTCTTCAGGTTATATTTCTACTATGATGAAATAAGTATTTTTATTCAGATTATTATGTACCTTCATGATCTTTTTATCTTTATGAATTTTTAAATCAGTATATTCATTTCCTAATACTCTTAACAATTAGGATCTAAAAAAATTACCTTTTCTCTTGTCAAGAGCTAACGATATATTTCCTTTTGATGTAGTTTTTCCAATGGTCATTCATTTTCTCATTTTGAGGTAGGACCCAAAATCAAGAAATTAGAAAGTCTGAGCTATTTTTGTACTAGGAGATCTGATGAATTTAGTAAGTTTCATGGGAAAATACTAAAAGATCCCACCTAGGCTTATCATAAGACTATAAACTATGAAAATCTAATAGATTTAAGAAATCTATTTAACCAACTACAATATATAAATAGCATGATACAGTAGGTTATATTAGTATATAAATAAATTTAAATATTGTTTTCAAAATAAAAACAACAACTACAGGGCTTTTAAATAATTTTTTGCTTGGTAAACCATTCAATATGTAAACCATATCCCAACACAAGCTGTTGCCTAAGTCCAAAATGTAAGTTTTATATTTTATATATAAACACCGTTTATATGTGTTTCAATAGAAGAAAAGGAGGAGGAAAAAAATTATGAACTGATCCATTACTTTTAGGCTAGCCCATTCAAAAGCATTAGGAAGAAAAGCGTCTAAGTGACCACACTGAATGACTCACTCTAAGTAGTGAGAGAAAAAAATGATTTGGGCCATGGTTAGGAAGGCAAAAATTATTTATTCACATACCATAAAATGATAAATATTTTTTTGCCTTGCCTAGGAAACTTTAACACTGCAATGTTAAATGAGGCAATGTAAATGATTTGTCTTCCACAATCACTACTGACAAAAATACGATTTTTAAAATGATCCCCTCCTCCTTTCCATTCCCACTACTACTGTTCCAGACCCAGGGAATGTTGCTTACTAAGGAATCTCTACACTAGCATCAGCATCCCAAGGGGCCTCCTGGCCTCACTTTGGTCCTTGTCCTTGCTAGGCTCAACTAGCAGACTGATCTTTCTAAAATGCAGATGTGATTATGTCACACTCCTATTCACACAGCTATTGGTTCTCCACAGCCTATAGAATCTTCTCCAACTCTTTAGCATGGCAGTGGGAGCCTTCAGAGCCCACCTGCTTATTTCCATGTGCCTCATTTAACACCATCCCTCCTCGCCCCCTTCCCCACAAGCACCTGCTATCCAAAGTCTATATACCAGCTAAACCCATATTCAGTCTCCATTCTCTTGACTTCCTACTTCATGCCCTCATTCATGCTTCTCTATTAGGAAGGCCCCTTCCCACCTATGTATTTGTGGAAATCCTACTCATCCAGTTGAAAGGCAGCATAGCAAAATAATTATGAACATCAACTCCAGAGCCAAATTGCCAGGTACAAATTGCAGATCTGCCACTTAAGAGTTATATGGCTTTGAGCAAATTACTTAACCACTCTAGGCCTCAGTTTTGTTATCTGTAAAATAGGGATAACAACAGTACTTATATAAAGTTCATAGAAGGGTGCCTGGCGAACACTATCTGTATAGTGTGTACATATATATTACATAATATACTACTCTTATTATCTATTGATTTTAAATGCCAGCTCTTCTTTGAAAGCTAACTACCCCCCTCTTCAAATCCTCTTCCTGATGGCTCTCCCTTACCAAACAACAGCAGTTTATAAGTCACTCTGGACAGTTAATATGCCTTACATTTTATAGCTTCCCCACTAGACTGGCTTTTTAAGGGTTTAGGCTTTTTCACCTGTAATGCTTAGTCTTTCATACGCAGAAGGCTAAAAATAAACATCTTGTTAGATTCCTGTAATAACAAAGAACAATACTTGAAGTATTACAGGTATTAAACTCATATACATCTACCTGGCTTTCATCCACGTTTCGCCCAGTGACATCCACAGCTGTCTTTCATCATTGTTGACAGTATAATTTAAGAACTCAATTGTGTCCTTAGTCAATAGGGGGCTGAGTACTGAACTGGCTAGTTCAGGACCTCCTGTTGCCTGCACCACCTAAAATGACAATAAATCATTTTTTAGCAAGAAGATGATGATTACTTGTATATTTTCAAAATATGTAAAATCCATGCCAAAACAAGCACTGTTTTTATATACTCAGATTTTGACGTGGTGCAGTGTACTACTTACTGAATGAAAAACAGCTTATTAAGTCAACCTACCCAGCCCAAAGGTGACTAATAATCTAGAATGAAAAGTTAGTAGCTTAACAACTTTCACAGGATCTATTGGTTGCATATGACCGTATTTTCCCTGGAAAATACTAATGGCTATCCAAAGAATTCTCAGTCAGGTTGTTTAACTATCTCTGCTTTTTGCTTAAAAAAAAAAAAAAAGTACATGTATCTTTCCTGGCAAATCTATTATCCCAAACTTGAAAAGTATGGTTCTATAAATGAATACTACAGAGAGAAATAAGGCTCAACTTAACAGTCCATGGCTGTGCCTATAAAGACATACAAAAATAAAAGGATCCAGAGAGAAAAGTGAGAGAAGAATGAGAACTGGTACTCTGAATCTATGGTATTTTTCCCCAGGATTTAATTCTAGGAAATTGTCCTGATTTCAAATGGATAATTTAATGATTAGCAGAAACAAATAAACAGGTGCACCTCTCTGATAAACAAAAGGTTGATAAGTGTATGTCCGGAAACTGCTCCAAATGGACTTCTCAGAGGCTTTTTCCTGGCTAAAGAATGGTAGTTATCTCCTAGAGCAGAAACCAGAGCCCTTTTATAAAAATCTCACCTTCCCAGAGATATGGCACAAGAAAAAAGGGATTTTTTTTTTGAATGGCTCCAGACCAAGAGTCAGTTTCTCAGTTTCTCCCCAGTCATCCAAGTGCTCTGAGCATGCTATGCTGTTGTATGCCTCTGTGTATCTGCACGTGCTGCTTCCCAGTTCCCCAAGAGGCCCTTCCTTTATCACTCAGAACTCTACTCTGGTACCACCTCTTCCAAGAAGCCCTCCTTAATCCCAAAGCATAGCTCCAAGGCACCTCAGTGTCCCCAAAACAATTTATGCATATAAGTAACACATTACATTTTAACTTATGGCTTATTTTTCAGTTTTCCCTCCTGTGAGGACTTGGACCAAGTCAATTGCAGAAGACACAGTGTTAGAGGGATGACTGAGAATCAGTGAAAGAAAAGATGAGAAGTAAGGAGGGAGGCTGACTCTTAATTGAGAACAAAATTTACCCTGCCTGGTACAGTAATTTTCTTACTTTCAAGCCCTATAAGCACTTCTGGTAAATATGTAGGAATGATTAAGAGGGAAAAGTAAAGGAGTAAAATCTAGGAGTAGAGGAACTTTAAAATCTTTGGGAATGAAAGAGAAGAAATGTCAATAAAAAGCTGTAAGACATAGTTCCCTCTCAAGAACGAATGTTAAGCACGTATGCATGTATGGTTGCTGTGGGTGTGCTTGTGTGTGGAGAGGCTGAGGGCAGAGGGCGGGTCTTGCAAGGTTTAAAGCCACTAAATTTTGTGTGGCTGGTCGTAGGCCCTAAATAAATGTTCCTTCCCATGTTTCTTGTCCAAGTAATATGTCTGGGGCCCTGTAGGCAGAACATTAAAAGGAGTAACAAACATATTCTGATTGGAGAGACCATGAAGAAGGAGTCATTTTTGATGGAAAAAAAAAGATAAAATGAATCCTATTTTCAGATACATAGCTTGATCACAAAGGCTACTTTCTACATGTGAGGGAAACCAGTCCCATTATTTTATAGTTCTCTTTCATGTAACGACTACATATCTACATATCTACTTATAATCTGTGAAAGAGTATGCCAAGAATGAGGAGATGGCAAAAACTCTTTTAGAGTCAACACTTCCTAATATTCAAACCAAGACAGTATCAAATGTGTTAAAGAATAAGGAATATAAATTTTGTTAATGAGATTCTATGGGCTTCTTTGCATATGAATGGCCTTGATTTAATTTTTAAAAGAGCTTATAAAGCAAGGATTATTCAACAATAACTAGACAAGTAGAAATCTGATGTTCTATATATAGAGCAACAACATCTGGAAGCATTCATAAATTATTGATGTAGTCTTGGACTTTCATCTTCTAATCTCTTATTGCCCAGTTCTGACACCTATGTTAATAATGTTACTTTCCTATGTTTGTAAAGCAATATTCATTTCATATTCTACTTCAGGTCCTGTCTATTTGCCCTTAGGGAAAGAAGGAGATTTATTATCCCTTTTTGTTACTTGCACTTTCTTTTTCTCTTTTTTTTTTTTTTTGATAATCAAGTAAAACCTATGGGAAATGCATTTGAATTTGCCCCATTTTTGATAAATATTAGAGTACTCAAACCATAGTGTTCATATGCCCTCAACCAAAATAACGAAATTTATCTGCTTCGTCTAGTCTTTAAAAAAAACAATAACAGAAATAAGACACAGGATAATCACACATTACTAACAATTATCATTATTGCCACTGTCATCCCACAAAGTGATCATTTGCTCTTCTGACAGGGACAGCCATTCACAAACACTCCACCCATGCCTGCCTTAGCCCACAAAGGAGGAAAGTCTGTCCTCCTCGAAGTATTTAAAAGAGACTCCACCTCCTTTCCACTCCTCACTCACTTGTCCTCCCACAAAAACCAGAATGACCCATCTAACTGGTGAAATTCTAGAAAAGGGTGATTTGTAGCCTACTCTCTTTTCAGATCTGTCTGTATGGGAGGGCGACAATTGCTCCATCTGCTTTCTGTCACATGCTTTTCCCAAACCCCTGCACTTTTTTGTTGTGTACTCTTTAATATTCCAGTGAGTTCTCCCAACTGCCCCGTAGGACAAGATGGTTGGATGTAACGTCAGCCTAGACAAGTTGCTACTACACCATTTGAGATATAAGAAATATATAATGTGAAGGGAGGTATATTACCATACCACATAAGGAAAGAACATAGCTGCATACTGAAAATCTTGAAAATGAAGATGTGTATCTTGGATCCTGGCCTCCGGCACAAGAGGTATAACCTTTTGCTGGATAAACTCATAGGAACATCCAACTCCTTCACAAAGGGAATTGTTCCCAACACACCCTTTTGTTAGCTTTAAAAATTATACCTTTTGTACAAATATACATGTATGAGAAGGGAGTTTTCTGGGGGGAAAAATGTATTATGTGGATATCACTCCACCTGACACAGAGTGAGCATGCTAAAGACTACTAATTGCTCCCTAGTGTCCGCTCTCTTCTTCCTTCTAGAAAGAGAAGCCTCTACATTTTAGATGAACCTACAGGCACGCAGATGGAGACTATATTCCTTTGGTGTTCAGTATGGCCACATGAAAACATTCAGGCCAACTGGACAAAGGCAGAAATTACCTGTTTAAGTTCAGAGTCAGCTCCTTAAAGATAAATCATCTTTCTTTGCCCCTGTACACAGCTGTAACAAGGGCATGGAGGTAAATCAGCTTCCACCATAGAGACATCTGACACAGTTGCTCAATTCTTCTCTTGGACACATTTTCTTCATCTGGCTTCCAGAATACCATAATATTCTTATGTTTCTTCTCCTGACTTAACTGCTTCTTCTCAATCTTCTTTGTTGGTTCTTTCTATTCTCCTAACACTGAATTGCGCAAGGCTCAACCGGTCCTTGTTCCTCAATGATGATTACTACCTTGGTGATAATGTCATGGCTTTAAATGCCTTCTATATGCAGATGATCCTTAAATATGTATCTATAGCTTTGATTTCTCCACTGAACTCCAAATTCATATATTCAACTACCAAATTTTTCCATCTAGATGTAACAAAATTTTGACATGTCTAAAACTGAATTCCTTATCTTCCTTCAAAAAAATCTGTCTTACCTATTGTCTTCCCCATCTCGATGAATAATTACTCCATCCCCCCACTCTTAGGCCAAAACCTTTGGAGATACCCTTGGCTCTTGCATAGCACATCTAATCAACCGGCAAATGTTGCTTCTATGGTTTATACCCAAAATCCAACTTCTTACGATTTCTAATGTCACCCAGTCCAAACACCATAATCTCTGATCTGGATTATTTTAATAACCACCCTAGTCCCTTCTTCCCCCAGATTTCTAAGTATTCTAGCCAGAGCAATCCTTTTGTGCTGAAAACACTCCAAAAGTGTAAAAGATTTCATAATCACTTATAAAGACCAACAAAATATGACCTCCTGTTGCTTTGCTGACTTCATCTCCTAATTAAGCTCTCCCTCATTCTGTTCAAGTCACAATACTTATTTATTCCAAGAACATAATTTGCAATTATCATCCCAGAGCACTCACAATAGCTGTTCTCTGTCTGGAATTCTCTTCTTTCAGAAATCCACATGACTCATTCCTCACTGCATTTGCTCAAATGACACCTCTCACCTTAACCAACCCTATTCAAAAAGGGTAATACTCCACCTTGCATACGTGTGCACACTTGCATGAGCATACACCTGAAATATTCCCCGTTCTCTGTCCCTGCTGTATTTTTTCAAATAACACTTATTTTTAGCAAAATATATTATTTATGCATATATTTAGGTTACTGATTGCCCCTCCATACTACAAATATAAGTTCCAAGAGGGCAAAAATTTATGTCTGTTTTATTCCTGATAAGCTACTAATAATGGTAAGCATGTAACAGGCTCTCAATTAGTATTTCTGAATAAATAAATAAATGAGCAAAGCCCTCCATCCAGTACCAGTACCTCCTCACACCCAGCCTATTTTGGGAGAAAGAGAAAAACTTTTACATTATTATAGCCATTTGCATTATATCCTAGTATATACTGAAACACTAGCATCTGATAAATATTTCTTTTCATCTTCCTAGCTCTGTCAGAGACATCGGCTTCCTCAGCAATAAAGTAAAGGTGCTTGAACAGGATGATTTCTAAGGTTCTTTCAAACTCCCGAATTGCACATTCTCGATGTTGACACAGATGCCAAGAGAAATCATATCCATGCAAAGTAATGAAGGAAAACTGTCGAGATACTCCAGACAGACACTTGGGGTTGAAAAACATACTAAGAGTGATTACTTTCTTAAATTAACAGTCTTACCATATTTAATGGAGTAAATAAAAAATGAACCAAATCTGCAGCACTCGGATTCTGGATGTGAGACTTCAGTTTGGCCTATAGCATTAAGAAAACAGACAAACAGATTACTATGATGCAATCAAGCAAAAAACAGATGCTCATAAAGGTCTGATACAGACTCAGAGAAAGAGTTCTTTACTACTAGTTTAACTTTTAATATATGAATCAGCCTAGGTAAGTCAGATTAAGAGAATTTAGTTTAAAAACAAGTTAGGAGTTGTTCTTTTTTGATAATTTGCTTGGATACATAGGTTTTATTATCTGTTGTCCTAATTAAAAGCAAATCAAAACATACATACCAAAAAATCTACAAGAATAATTTTATCTCTTCATTTAATCAGGAACCTCCTGGCTAGAATTTGATCTCCTTCGTTTGTTTCTTTTGGTTATACACAAATAAATTCCACTTACCAGAAGGTTAAATCCATGTTTAAACTTTTGTAAACAGTCAACAAACTCCTCAGGAGGGGGAGGTTTTGCCCGCAGAGTTAAAACACCCTCTAAAAGAAATAAACGGGAAGGGGGACAGATGAAAGCAAAGCTGTCAGAAAATCTAGTAGGGGCACCTGAGTGGCTCAGTCGTTAAGTGTCTGCCTTCAGCTCAGGTAATGATCCCAGGGTCCTGGGATTGAGCCCCACATCGAGCTCCCTGCTCAGTGGGAAGCCTGCTTCTCCCTCTCCCACTCCCCCTGCTTGTGTTCCCTCTCTCGCTGTGTCTCTCTCTGTCAAATAAATAAATAAAATCTTAAAAAAAAAGAAAAAGAAAATCTAGTAAATGAAAAAATAAAAAGCCCCATTTGTGTCTGTAAAATTTGATCATTCCAGATACCATGCTTCCTAGCTACTCTAGTACATCTCCTAGACTCACTGTAACAAACTAAGGTGATCCAACATTTGAAATAGACCCTTCTACCCTTAGGCTCTACTGACTCCTCACCAATTCCATAGATTTATGCTGTAGCCCTTTTATGTCCCAATTATTGCGCTTATCACCACAAAGACTATAAAAATGTGCGGGTTATAAGCCCTGCTCTGAAGGGCCTTAAAATCTTTAGAAAACCCAAATCGGTAAGTAACAAAGATACACCAAGGAAATGTTGTAGAAAGAGACTGCACCTGGTTGGGAGATGGGAAAATGGACACCTAACAGATGTTTCATGGGGAAAGTAGCTTTTAAGATGGGATCTGAAAGGTCTGTTACACGGCAATTTGGTAAGAAAATGTCATAGTTGGATACAGCAGTATAAGTAAAAAAACATGGAAAAAGGAAATTGCATGTACGTGAAACAACAAACTAAAGCAGAGAAACCAAGAGAATGGAAAAGCAGACCAAGGTTGGACTGAGGGTGACCTTGACTGCCAGAGGGGCGGGGGGAGGAGCAGAAGTAAATCAACAGAACATGGAATTAACATGCTGTTCAGAAGAATGAAGTGACTACATTAGATGACGACAACTGTCCTCCCAGAATAAAAGACTGGAGGCTTGAAGACTACTTAGAGAGCCAGGTAAAAAATGATGACAGCTTGAAGCAGACATTAGCTATGAAAATGAAAAGGGAAACAACTGGGTATAAAACACACTGAAAAAATAAAATCGATGTTGGCTGCAAGTTAGAGAATGAAGTCATACTAGACCTGTGGTCTTGAATCTGGATGACCAAGAGGAGAGAACACCCCTCATAACGAATACAGCAGGAATAAGTGGTTTGAGACATAAGGATGCAATAATACTTAATTTCAGAATATAGGGAGGTGACGTACACCCAGAGGTACACATCTGGAAGACAAGTCTACAGGTCACATGCTTAGGAGGTAGACATGAGCAAGAGAAAAACTGGGAGGTCACGTGTCATGAAAGGGATATTTACTCACTATTCTTTTAATTTTGTTCCACAGTTATAAGTTTATACATTTTGAGGCCATTTTAAATAGCTAACTACAGCATACCCCAAAACAGCTTGTACGTGACCTGAATATATTCTTTGGGAGTTCTGTGATATAAAAATTCAAATCCATTGATAGTTGTAACTATTTTAATGAGAAAAATCAATCCTTTTAACAAAATAATGAGGTTCTATATTTATAATAAAATAAATCAAAATAGGGGAAGAATAGAGCCATGCCTTTCTTTAACAGACATTAATTTTACAGTCACTAATTAAAACTACAGAGATGGTTGTTAGCTGAATCTCAGAGTCTCTGTGATTTAGGTTAAGTATCCTAGAATCTTTTCTTACTATAGCCAACTTGGAACCAAAATGGACCATTCCCTGGGGTCTTCTTAGTCTCTGCCTAACTCCCAGGTGCTATCCCAAAACTAGAAAAGGGACTTTGACCCACTGTCAATGGAGTTTTGCTGAGCAGTTCACAAGGGCAGAAACTCTGCCTAGCACTGGAGTTCTGAATGGTCTTTAGAAGTTTAAGAAAATCCAGCGGCGCCTGGGTGGCTCAGTGGTTAAGTGTCTGCCTTCGGTCATGATCCCAGGGTCCTGGGATTGAGCCCCGCATTGCATTGGGCTCCCTGCTCAGTGGGGAGCCTGCTTCTCCCTCTCCCACTCCCCCTGCTTGTGTTCCTGCTCTCACTGTGTCTCTCTCTGTCAAATAAATAAATAAATAAATCTATCTTAAAAAAAAAAAAAAGAAGAGAAAATCCAACTTACCTCCTGGTCCTTTCTTTTTACCTTTCTTACTTTTCTTCCTTTTAGAAAGCTCAGAAAATGCTTCAGCTGCTTTTTGGAGTTTTGTGATAAAAAATTCAATGTCATCCAAAATGTGGTTTAATATTTGCTGGAATTAGAAATTACAGAATAAGATTTAAGACAAAATAAAACCATTTTTGCCTCGACTGAATACTATTAGTCAGTAAAGGAAAATCAGAAAGTTAAAAAAAAAAAAAGAAAAAAATACCTCCCACATGCAAATTTCAAGTTTATCACTAATTCTAAGAAAAAGAATTGAACTAAATATACATATACCCGTGGCTAAAGTCTGACATTTACATTTTTCTTTAGCTTGATCTTGTTCTATTTTCAATACCATAAAGAAAGCATTCACAATATCTATTCAGATTATTAATTATTTTCAACTACTCTAATTTTCTCATAGGGTTCTCCCACATAAAGTTAGGGGAAAAATTCTAAGAAACATCTTGTTAGAAGAGGAATGAGCATTTCTGTTTTCTAATAAATATGCCAATAAAGTACCAACAATATTATTTCATGGAATTAAAGGTATATAGAATGTTCTGATTACTTAATAAACACATAGATAATCTAGAATAATAATCATTAATGAGAGTTGCCACATGGTAAAATAGAATTAATGATGAATTATGCTTTCAGGGATTATTGGATCAGTTTTGATTGTCTTAGCTGACTTTCTCTAGTATGTGTGAAACCTGACATTCTTCTAATTTAAAAGACTAGAAACCGGGATTAAGTAAACTTTTAAATATAATAAATAATGGTATAATATAAAAATTAAATTCCAAACTTCAAATTCCTGTATTTGTTTCCAAATAAGCTAGGATTGTGTATAACATAAATAGTAATTACATTGAGATTATATTTTATTATTATATCAGAAGGCATTGTCATTCTGTAAGTAAATTACTATTGACTAATAAAAATAAATACAGCCTTATTCTTTATAAAATATTAAAATTTACATATCTACTTTTAAAAAATTCCACTTAACTTTTATCTTTCAGGCATTGTAAAATTGTTTAATAAAAATAAATGTCATGAAGAGGTATTTAGAAGACATTTCAATTATGAATTACAAGTTATGAAAAAAGTTAAAATCCCCCAAATCTGATAATTCAGTTTAGATTCCTTTGTAAACTAGTTAATATGCTAGTTCTTCTATCAGAGCCCTATCCTACTAACTAAATATTGGCATAAAGGCAAAAATAGTTAAGAAAGAAATAATTCAAAGGGCATAACCACCAATGGAAAGAGAAAATACAGTTTGCACAAAACATCTTTATTTAAATCAACTTCATTTTCCCTGCTGATATTTTTTTCCTCTTTAAAAAGAAGGCAATGGCCTAAAGAGGACTGTTGGACCTACCACGTCTCTGTCAATTCGGGCCGCCATCATTTCAGGTGCTTCTTCCTGCTCATGATACTGCCTTGGTTTCTCAACTAAAGAAAAAAGAATCACAAGTCTTTCAACCTGTTACCGAAGCAAGATCAATCTAGGTAGTGAAACATGAAAAGTGGATAGAAAAGAGTGCCATTTGCAAAAGGGAACACCTTCACTGGATACAAAATGAAAACTGCTCATCATCCATCAATGACATGCATCCTTGCCATCACTAACTGAGGAGCACTTGGCCAGGGCTGACGGGCTTGCCTTTAGCCTTTATGATTTACCCTGTAACTTCCCCTTCTATTCTCCCTCTTCCCAATGACAGCTGCCTGTAGAACCAACCCTAACTTCTCACCCTATAATTCCTGTACAAGAAAGAAATATAAACTCACATTTAAGCACCCGCTCCTCAAAAAGTGGTGAACTAATTTCTAATGCAACCTCCCAATTTTATACATTCCACCACTGTGATTACAATAAAGCTTTGGGGGTTCTGACAGTAAAGTGCTTCTTTCAAATTCTAGTTGTCATTAAGCACAATGTTGGGCTCACTGATTTATACTTTGTAAGTATAAATACTCTACAGGATTTGCAAATTAAGTAATACATATCTTAAGAGCACTCAAGATGTTAAGTTAGCTCAGTTAGCTAAAGCATGATGTTAATCATAAGGTCACTATAATGAACTCCCTTCTGGTTAATACTACCACTAAACACAGATACTTCTACATATATTTCACAGTAGATTAAATAAAAGAAAAACTGTACAGATGAAACTGGAAAAATGTATCATCAATAATGGAAAAAACTCATGATACATCATCATGACTCATGATGTTCAATATAGAAAACTACAAAAAATACTGAGAACTCTGTATTTATACCTCTTCTGCCTTTCCCAATAAATGGAGTATCGCCCCCCCCAAAAAAGAAGAAATTATGGAGTTTTTTGAAACTTAATTAGTGGCTCTTAAGTACTTTAAAATAATTAAATTTATATTTATGAACTCTTGCCAGTTAAATGCTGTTTTACATGGAGTTAGCAGCTTTCTTGGGTATAGTATACTACAGAAAGCATGTTGAACTTGAAATACAGCTAGTAAGAACTCCAGATAAGCCCCAAAATATCACTTGGAGGGTGAGGTAAGGGGAGATGCAGTATCTCGCAGACTTTTTCACAGTCTCTGGCACCACTATGAACCCCACTGCCACTACTCTACAGAGATCACTTTTGGAAGTCAGGGGTAAGGCTGTGTCAAGGATTCAAAGGAGATGTTTAGTCTGAGTTAGCTGGAGCCTTCAGAGGGACCAAAAAGATACTCCTTTTGGGGGGATTTCCAACCAAAAACTGGCCTGGGTCCAGACAGAACCTCACATGATAAGTGCTACGTTCTACATGGCCTAGTAGAAAATTAGAAGTTCTGAAAACTCTTTCTTACTCTCATTTAAATAGGTAAGACTGCACAGAATATTTTAGACAAAATCTAATGAGAGCCCAGAAACATCTCTTTGTTGTAAATCATATTAGGTTTTACAGATGTTTTCACAAATTTATTCAGAATATTTATAAACTTAAGATCTCTTATCCTTCCTCAACTTCAAGGAAGACCATTTTGATCTCTCTCAAAACCCACATCTCTTCTACCAAAATAGTAGCAACAACAAAACACTATGTGAACACAAAAAGTAGAAAACACTACAAACTCCTATTAGCTTTTTAAACACAAAATATTACAGAAAAAAAACAGATCAACAGAAATTTGTATGATTTCTAAAAACAAATTGTTATAAAGTAAATATTCTGCTACTTCATTTTTGATAAACAGATGTTTCAAAGACTTTTTTCTTTCATCTGTCTGGTAGCTGGGCTTACATGTAAATCTCTAAAAAATAACTTCAAGTATACAAAAAAAATAAATAAAATGGAAAGCAATTCAGAAATAAAATGAACTCAATTTGGCAAAAATGAGATGAACCACACGTTATGTGTTTTACACTGCAGTAGGGACTGTTGTCGACATTATTTGCTTTCAGATTCACAGCAACCCATGAATCATTATCCCCACTTTACAAGTGAGGTTGAAACACAAAGAGATACCATCCAGGGTCACACAGCAGATCCTGGTCTTACTCCAGAGTCCAACTTTTGACTCACCAGACTCAAAATAAAGTCTAGTGTCACTTATTTTTGGCCACCAAGTTCTATTGTTTAACTACATTGTTAGATATCTGCATGAATAATGTTTTATTAGATAAAGGATAAGTGATTTAAGTCCACTGAACAATGAGGCAGAACAGTGAGACTCTAGTCTTCATCAAATTCAAACTTGTTGATCACAATTTATTCACTCATAATAAAAAGATTGGACCAAACATATTTTAAGGCATTTTCAGTCATAAAAATTTCAGATTTGGTAAAAAAAAAAAACAAAACAAAACAAAAAACATTCTGACATATAAAAAGTTATGCTAAGTTCTATGCTCGGATTATTTGTCTTTGAAAAAGAATGTCAAGGTAAAATGATGATGCACACAAAGGGCCCCTCTGACAAGTTTAGTGAGATGGAGATGCTTTTACTCTTGTCCTAATACTCCCCTTACAGCCTTTTCATGTAAGCACAACAATTTTCCCAAACAGGAGAGTGGTAAGATAATAATAATGGAAAGAATTTTGAAGGACAATCTTTGCAAAAAAATCTGATAGTCTCTTCTCTGGTAGAGAGTTTGATTCACAGCTGAGTCAAACTTCCCATCTTTCTTTGATTGCATTAAAAAAAAAAAAAAAAAGTAATCCTAACACCATATTTATTTAAATGACTGGTGTGAACTCTCATATACAATAGTCTTATAGTGTCAAAGTTTTAAATTTCCTTTATCTATGATTTTTTTTAATTAAAAAAGCTAACCTCAAGCTTCAGCTCAGAAATCAGCATCAGAATTTGAGAGCAAGAATTATGTCACAACCCAAAGTCAATGGTCAGTAAGTAGCAATCCTCAGAAACACTCACAGTCCCCTTGGTCAGCAGCCCATGCAGACCAGGCTGCCACCCGACTTCTAACATCCACCTGGGTAACAGTCCCAGGGGGCACCGGGGCAGGAGCTCTTGGCGGAGGCGGTATACCAGGGTCTGCTTTGGAAATCATCCTAAAAAAGATGAAAAAATAGAATTTTTACCATCTCCGTGTCCATCAATTCTCAGTTTATGGTATTAGTTCTTCAACCTTAAGAACGATGTCAAGGGGGAGGACAACAAGGACTTCCTAACCATTTCATTTTATGTATATTTACAAATGTATATGAAATATAAAAACACAGAAAAATTTTAATTCAACTGAACACTAGGTTTAATTTTTTTCTGGGTCTCCTGTGACTTGGAGAGGCTATGAACTAACTATATTCCTCATATCTATTTGTACCCAGGCTTCCTTCCCTTAAAATGCCACTCATCTGTCCTGACTCTGACAACACACGCTAGAGAAGGCTTCTCAGAGAAAGACCAGGAAACGCGGAGAGAAAAGGTGCACACATATACTGATAAACTAGGAAGAGCTAATGACTTGAAATCACAGGTTGTAATCTGTAAAATAGACCTTCACCGAAGATCATTTTTCTAAATCTTTAGAACAGAAACTACAACAACAACAAAAAACACCCCAAAAACCAAAAGAAAAACGCAAATAAAAAAACTTAAAAACAAAACAATTCTACCCCTTAATTTCTTTTAATGTTTTTACCTCAGGGCTTCAGGCCGCCTCTTCTGTTTCCCTCCTTTACTGTCACTGATCGCACTCTCAATGTCTTCACTAATGAGGTTTGCCTGCAGTGCAAGACAAGTTACCTGTGAGGTCATAGATTTTTCTTGTCTTAATGTATAGGTTCAAACAGCAACAGCAAAATGGATTACATTCCCTGTCTGAATCAGTAAGTGTCCTGATGCAAAAGAAAAGTGTTTTCTTTTTTTAAAATGTGCTTTCAAAACATGACTCTTGCAGTTTTTTGATGGTGAATTTTATGACAAATTTTAAAAACTGAAGAAGTTCTTAAAGGTTATTTCATCCAGATTCCATTACTTTAGACAAAAGCTATCCTTGCATACAGGCAAAGAGAAAAGGAATTTGCATATGCTGGAAATGTAAGTATATGTGGAAAATGTAACTGGGAGAAAATCTCTACCTAAAAAGAAATGAAGGAATTAGAAGTGCATGCTGGTCAAGCAGAGCCCTTCCCCTTTCTCAGCCTCAGGCTCCGGTGGGCACCCATTAACCTACTGGAACAAATCACTCAGTCCCAGCAGATACTCCCAGTTTGGGAAAATACACTACAATCGTGGGACGAACCCCAACACTAGGTTGTACCTTTTTTGATAACCACTTTATTCTGTCATTTCAGGTAAAAGCTAACTTTCTCCAAACAATTAACTTCTCTAATACTTTTCCAACAAGAATATTTGATGTGGTTTTCTTGGGAAACAGTGTGAAGTTAGCTTCTTAAGAGGTGTATTTTGTTTGGTATGAAGTTTACTTATGACCAGTGATTATTATTGCATATTAGATTCTTGATGGGATGTACTCACCTCCTGTTTTTTGGTCCTGCTTGTTCTCTGTCATTTTGTATGTTTTTCTCAAATACGTATGCTGTATATTCTTTTACCATAAGCACAGACAATCATAAAATTTTAGAGCTGAAAGGAAACTTAAAGATCATCTAATCTGTCCTCTCTGTTTTATAATTAATGAAACTGAAGAATACACTCATATGATGGTTTGGCCAAGGTCACATTCCTAATTAAATGTGAGGGCTAATGCACCCTAGCTCAGTGTTACTTCAGTAAGACTATCTTAGTTTCAGGAAGACATTATAAACATCATGTCAAAGACTCTCTGTTATGTGGGATATTAAATAAAACTGAAGATGCTTAGGAACCCTGAACTTCTTTTGGGGGGGGGCTATCATATTTCTAAGAAAAATTTTACTACAGAGGTGGGCAGGAGCGTAGTGTAAAATCCCATAATAAAGAAACTTTAAAACTCAAAAGTGATGTTGCAACATGACCCATATAAAAGAAACTACATCATATTTCATTGTGTTTATATTTTTAATGTGTCAAGGAAAAAGAAGGTCTCATGTAGATAGCACTAATGAGTAAAAACACAGAGCTGCACAGTGGTATTTGAGCTTTTAGACAAAACAGTAATTCAGTAAATCTGTTTCAGACCCATCAATACCAGCATCCCCTATCAGATAAAACAAGCCCTTCATTCTCAACACTGAAACCCAGAAACTTTACTCAGCATAATAATTCTTAGTTTCAGGCTAAGTTTTAGAGCACTGAGGCAAATACCAGATTTAAAATGTCTTTTAGTTTAGTCCTCTGTTTTAAAAATATTTTAATTTCAATATATTTTCAGAGAAAAATATTCACTTTAATACTTATTTAATACTTAACAAATCTAACCTTGAAAAATTCTTAATACCCTTTATGACTTTCAAAAGGCACTACATAAAATTTGATGAACATCACTATGCAAATTATCTAAATGCCACAGTTATTTTCAAGTAAGATTTTTAGAAAGTCATCTATACATAAAGCAAGAAAAAGAAAATGATGAAATCCACTGTTGACAGTCAATCTTAATTTAGCTATCATATTTTAATGTCAAAGAAATACAGAAAAGATCAAGTGACACTTCATGCTAATCTCCTAACATTTCTTTATAAGATAAAAATTACCTGTATATTTTGTAATATACAGTCACAGTGGTAAGTCACTGCTTTGGCAAAGCACCAATCAACTCAACCCCAAATGAATTCCCTTTTGAAGAAATCAACTCATGATCCAAAAATATTCAAGGTGGACGATAATTTCTAATGTCCAACAAAGCATCACAAGTGATAAGCATTTGAAAATTACAGTGTGCTTTGAATACCAATCTTCAGGATATAGCATGTTTTTACTGGTAACCATGCTTAACTACTTTCACATTATCACTTGGGGATTACATATCTTGAGCAATTATTCAAGTCACATAATTAAATGGTGAGCTTTAAATATGTATCATTGAAAATGTCTTGCGGGTTTCACTGCAATAATCCATGTTATGTGATTAGTGCAGAATAAAATAGGATGGCGTGATTACTTATTGTCCATGAAGCATGATTTTGGAAGAATCAATTTTTAATTATAAGTCCAAGTAACTCAATGAAGAATTTAATATATTATCTATGCCTGTTTTTTTTTAAATAAATAGAATGCATCTTTCTTTTTTAAAATACCACTCTATTTCCTCTTTATTTATTGGAACCCCTCAGGAAAATACTAAGGTATTTGTTTTCCTTACAAAATCCTAAGAAACTAAAAATCCACTGGTCATATAACTGAAGTGGATAATCCAATGGCTGTCAGAACATCTACTTAAAGGGGAAAAAAAATTCACCATTCTTATACCTTAATCTCATCACACTGGAAAAGATGAAGATCGGGCTTGTTTTGAGTTGGCTCTTTGCACACCAGGGCGAGAATTGAATCATAGTTACAGGAATGCATCACAGCTTGGCAGTGCTGGACTGTGCTTAAAGGAAAATTCTCTAGTTCATTCTGTAAACAAAGTAAAAATATAATTTGCCTTAATTTTTATCGTATGTCTAAAATCTATTGAACAAAGAACTCTAGACACTGTACAAACCACTTTTAAAGTGATTTCCAAAATTATTCACCATCTTACATGGTATTTTTTTTCCCTCTGGCTATATAGTGTCAGAATTTTCTTTTACTTGAACATTGAACAGTCATACTCTTAGTTTCTACCTTCAGTGATCACAAATGTTAGGCTAAAAATAATACATCATTTATACATTTTTTTATTTCAATGAATCTTTCAGATGAAAAAATTCACTCTCTCTATATATTCATTCTAGCCAAAAATGTCAAACAGCTGGGCCAGAAGGATCTCACTAAAAATTACATTTTTCAAAGTGATTAAGATGTTTGGAAGTATAAAAGTGAATATTCTCTAACCTATAAACAGCCACCTAAATAAAATACTGGCGGATTCTTAAACAAATGAGCTTTCTGTTCACAATTAGAATTCTGTATTTAATGAGATATATTTAAAATGCTCATTATTATACTAATGATTTTATACAAATAGTGAGTGGGTCATAATGAGTTAATGAGAGAAACTGATTTTTTTTAAGAAAATATAATATCCCCAATAAATGAAAATAAATTAGATAAATAACAAATAAAAGGAAAAAGCAGCAACTCTGATTACAGATGGCACATACACACATCATGAGTTTTATTCTAACTTTTGATTCCCTGAGATCCAGAAAAGGCAAAACAAGAAGCACTTGTTCCTTCAAAATAAAATGCAATTTCTCAGAGTACCAGAGAAATAACAAATTTTCTTTCTTTGCAAAGTAAATTAAATAATACCCCTCTCTCTATATAATTACTAAAAACCATGAGGATCGGAGATGTTCTCTCACAATATATGATGGATGTGAGAAAAGAAAGGGCAGATCTTACTCCAAGTCCTATCAGAATACTCTAAAACAATTATGACAGTTGTTTTCTTTATCTTAGCAACTCAAATGCTTATTGGATGATGGGGCTCAAAAAAGTCCTGTGTTGAGAGCTCCAGCATCGTACCTACCAGTGGTTGTGCAAAATAAAGGTGCCTGCCATAGGGGTGCTGAAAAGTTAACACGCACGCACACACACACACACACACACACACAAAAACCCCCTTCATCCCAGGTTACTCATTTACTGGGATATGGTTTGCCTAGTATATAATTAATATATGTCATAAAGGTAAGGCTCCACTGGGGCCTTATTTTAGTGCTTTGGATTTTTTTTCTCACTTCCTCCATCTCATCATTTGTGGTTAAAAACAAAACAAAACAAAACACATATCCCTCTGTCTCCAGTTTCAGGAACTGATTTTGTGGGCATAATATGTATGCAATAGTATATTTCTTCTTTAAAATCACTGACAAAATATTTTATTTTGTCAAACTTTCATCCCCTTTTAAACAGTATGACCTGCTTGTCAACATAAATATCTGTGGAACTTTATTGGAAGTAAACAGTCTAAATTTTACAAACTTACCTTCGATTCTAAATCAATCAGGCTCACAGCTCTGTCGTCCACCTGAAGAATCATATCCTGGGTCCACACTTTGCCCTTGGCATCGAGCAATTTCAGCTTCCTTATTCCATCATCAACAGTTATCATAGCATCTTTCCGATCCAGAACAAAGGTGGTCAAGTGCTTACGATTGACAAGAAGGAAAAAATATTTATTAACATACACATTCTCTTAGTGCACGTTTTCCAAAAGAAAGCAATGGTGACCTGACTGAAGTCAACGACTGGAGCGGAGAGGAGCCAACAACACAAGGTATCCTACAACTTTGTGGCTCTCTTACTGAGATTAAGAAAGTCAAGCAGGTTTTTGTTGAATTGAGGAAAGGGTGCCTTGAGTCATAAAATACCTCAATCTGTTTAATACCGAGCCATGTTGAGCTACATAAACAGAACATAAATTCTGAACAGCTTAAATAACATTCTCGTAAGACCGATCCCTCCCATCTCATTCCATGTTGGTTACTTAAGTGCTGAGCCACTGCGGCTTGAAACCACAGAAACTGATAAACGAGAGCAGTAGTCGGCTACCACGGTAGCAACCGTCAAACTGCACGGTACTGAAACAAAACTTCAAATCTCATGAAGCATGCCTGCTATGGGTAGAAAATGGAAAATAAGAGCAATTTAAAAATTACTCCCTGCTTAAACATGTTCTACTATAAGCGATAGTCACCTACGTAAATTCCAATCAAGAGCAAATATATCTTAAAAAATAACAACACAGGAAAAACTAAACAAGAAAACCGTTGTTTAAATAGGACTAGTCACGACTTTAGGTAAAACTAAAACTAAACCACTCAGTGAAACCATCAAAGGTGTAATTTCAAAAAAGATTCCATAATATAAAATAGAAGCCTGTCCTGGTTTTAGCCAAAATAAGACTGACAATGACAAATGAGTGGTTAATTTATTCTCTATGAAAATAGACCCCAGATGAACAAGACACTTCATTATTTTACATCTCAGTTTTACAAAAATCTGAAAGAAAAAGGTCAACGCAATTCAGAGTACATCATAAGAATAAAATAAAACGCAATTCTGATTTTACCACCAAATTTTTATGTCCCTCAAGGTTCATTCTAAATTTTAGCAAACACCAAAACATCTTACTTCAACACGATATTGGGATATATCGGACACACTGCTGACACTGTCCCGAGCATAATTCTTCCTTTGTTCTGAAAGAGAAGTTGAAGAAGTCATTATTTACCCACTAACAGGCTGAAGTTCATGTATCAGTGTCTTGTGGCCATCTCTAAAACTAGTCTATCTCACATATAAATACAGTAGCTGACAAGTCACCATTGTGTGGTATATCTGAAAACACGCATTATTCACATTAAATGAAAAAGCCAATAGAAAGCTTAAATGATATGCAAGAACAATTTGACCCAATACAATTTTCAGAATCCCAAAGGTAAAATCTAGATTATTAATGTTGTAAGAAAAAGAGTTATTTGGTCTAAGGGTTTTATTAATCAGATACTTACTCTTTGGTAAAAAGATAAAAACTGGCTTGTATCTTTCATCTCTTAATGTACTGAGAACAAAACAGAATTGCAAAATACTGTCACAGATACTGTATTATAGGAGTTAGACTACATTATCAAGATAATGGCCACTACAAGGAACATCTCCTTTCACAACATCCAAACTATGGAAGAGTGTCAGAGGAGATTCAAAACATGATTTAATCATACCGATAGCCATTAAACTTTAACAGTTTCCACACAGCTACCCAACAAACAAATGTGATACTGAGAATTGCAGATATCACCTGTTAGAAAATATGAGAGTTAGGTAGAAAGTTACTGCACCACACTATTGAAAAAAGCAAAAATAAACATTTATTTTCTTTTGTAAAATGCTGCAAAACCAAAATATAAAATATGCAGAGGCAGTATTTTGTATTTGTTTCTTTCTAATCAAGTAACTTGCTTATTTGTAAATTCAGAGTTGCCCTATTCTTTCTAAAGCAGAATGCTCTGATGAAAAAGAACCCTAAGTAAGAACCAGAAGATTATTGTTTCTAGCTTTGGTTCTGTCACTAAGTAGAACGCTAAATTAAGGCAAGATGCTTAGCTCTGGACCTCAGCACTCTTCTTGTAAAACAAAAGGGTTAAATAAGATCAAACCTCAAGACTCCTACAGTACTAATATTCAGACCCACACAGACACAAACACACATGCACACATGTGCACACACAGACACACACACACTCCTCAGCTCTCCTAATTATCTAACAGCTTTTCAACAATAAACATGTTTTTTTCAGTTAATATAGAAACTTTTAGGTCTTCCTACAACTTCAGAAGCTGAAAAGTTCTGCTGAGCATGAAAGCAAAGCAAGTACAAAAATATAAAGTACATGTATAGATTCGGAATGTTAGCAGAATATTTGAAAACTGATAAATCACTGTTTCACAATACATACAAAAGTAATTATCTTTTATATTTACCTTAAACCTTAGATGAAAAATATCCATATCCCTTATATTACATCAGCCTGATATTATTCCGGTATATTCTATTTTTGCTTTTGCAGCATTAAGTTACTTAATAGAAAAAGACACACTACAAAATTCAGTATCTTCTACCTTTCTTTTTTTGTTTGGATGATGACCTGAAGAAGTATGATCCATCTGTTCCTACCAAAATAATGTGATCAAAAAGAAAGATCTGGTTTCACCTTAAATTTTTCTATTCCAATATAACAAAGCATAATCTTCACTTACATGACTGTATTCTACATATTAAAAAAATAAACCATGATTTTTTCTGATTATTAGCTGAGCATTAATCAACGTGAAATAGTAACAAATGAATAACTGTTCTCAGGAGAACCACTGAAATGCAATATATAACTGAGGAACATATCTGACAAAAAGCACTTTGAGAAATAATCACTATTTCAGAATCACTGGTTTATCACTTTCTAGCACAACTCTCTATGGCAGACTCAGGACATGAAGGTGGTTCTGTTAACTGTGGTCTGACCGAGACAGCAAAAGAAATGGCAGTGGTTGCCATGGTATCCAATTGTGATATGGCAACCCCAGGACATTCAAATGCTTCACCAAGCCTTTCAGATAAGTGATCAGTAAACACAACTGAAGCTCAACTGTATGTTTTGTAATTAAAGATTCTCATTATGAAGTAGTATGAATGTGTTCTCCCACATTTTCAAATACAGTTTCTTAATCTCATAGAAACATATTTTATAAGTACAATAGAAAAACACTGCCTATTTGATAGTATTTGTAAAAAAACATGACATTAACTGATCACTGACTGCCTTGAAGGTGTTATTTCTAATATTCCAAATGAAGAATCCATTTTAGAAATTCTTAAACTGCTTTCTCTCCAATACTACATAATATATAAGACGCTGTTACAAGAAATTACCTTTTAAAGATCCTAACAATATATAAATGCCATAAAATGGATTTATAAATAAACTAGTAGTTCTAGTGATTTAAGTCAATGAATAAATAAAGGTTAATATTAACATTTTAATAGGAAAATTTTGAAAGACGTTTCCTGAGAGGCAATTATGGTACATTTCTTTTTTATGAGAATCATATGTACTCTCAAGTACAGTTGTAAATAGTAATTATGCTTTTAAGCTGAAAATCTCACCAAAAGTTTAAAAAAGTATGAGAAATCTAAATGAAGTCTCAATGATACTCAAGGTAAAGCCTCCAGTGACGTTCCCCACTTTAACAATGGTTTTCAGACTTGGCCACACACTAAAATGAACTTGGAAAAACAGTGCCTGGGTCCCACCTGCTAGAGATTCCAATGTGACTGATGTAGGATGCAGTTTGGGCCCTGGAATTTATAAATGGCAATCCTATTGTGCAGCCAGGACTGAAAACCAAAATCTGTACAAACGCCAACTCACTGACTACATGTTACTTCTCTAAGCTGAAATTTTTTCTTTCCAAATTAAGAGCGTAAATCATGGACAAATAGTGTATTAAATAATAACTGAATAAATCTGGCAGCAGAGTTTTGGGTTTCTCGTACTATGGGCTACTCAACTGCTGATAAAAAGCCTCAGTTTCTATCTCCTTATCTCTCGCAATCTGCATTGATTAGAGGCAGGAACAAACTTTACTTGATTGCAGTACCACTGGTTGTGGTTTTACTGTTTTTCCTACTCGCTTTTATACCACAGACCAGAATACACAAACCCAAAGAAATGGAATTAGGTGAATTCAGTAACCAATGATGAAAATCCTTTACAGATTATTTTCGCATTATTGGATTGATATGCTGCTGGCAAAACGTGGTAATTCACTTCTAGATTGGGAACATTAAATTCAGGTTACGTAAGACTTTGAGTGACTATGATATATCAGTGTAGGTTCATCAATTGTAACAAATGTACCACTCGGTGCGGGCTGTTGATAATGGAGGGCTATACATACAGGTGGTATATGGGAAATCTCTGCAGCTTCCCCTCAATTTTTCTATGAACCTAAAACTACAAGTCTTAATTTTTTAAAAATGTAGGTTTTGGGGTGCCTGGGTGGCTCAGTCAGTTAAGCGTCTGACTCTTGATTTCAGCTCAGGTCATGATCTCAGGGTGGTGAGATCAAGCCCCGCGTTGGGCTCTGCATTCAGTGTGGAGTCTGCTTGAGATTCTCTCTCTCCCTCTCCCCCCATTCCCCCACTCTCTCTTTCTCTCTCTCAAAAGTAAAATCTTTTTTAAAATGTAGGTTTCATTTACTTCTATTAGTAAAATGGCAACTATAACAATATTCAGGTCTCAGTATTTAAACATAATTCCCTTTTGTTGATATTGCTGTTTATGCATATACAGCAAGATTTGTAAAAGCTAATATTCAGGGGTGCCTGAGTGGCTCAGTTGGTTAAGCGGCTGACTCTTAATTTTGGCTCAGGTCATGATCTCGGGGTCGTGAGATAGACACCCACGTCAGGCTCTGCGCTTAGCGGGGAGTCGGCTTGAGGACTCTCTCTCTCCCTCTGCCCCTCCACCCCCATGCTCTGTCTCTCTCTCTAAAATAAATGAACAAATGGTTAAAAAAAAAAGAGCTAATATTCAGATAATTTTATTTTCTCTTTCTCTGAAAATAAAGCATAGCTTCGAAGTATGGATTTGGCAATTAAAAAGAAAAAGAAGTAACATAAAAGCAGCTGCTGAGTATTTATTTCTCTCTCTAAATAAAACATTGGGCTACAGCTCCTATTACACTTTCCACTTTCAAGCACAGTAAAGGAGAATTCCTTTCCCACTATTTTAGTGTATAATATCCACAGAGGTGAGGTGCTTAATGGGAATCAGTGAGGAGCACCAAGTAATAAGTACAGCCTCTCATTATCTAGGCCGCCACAATCAGTTTGACAAATCAGTACCAAAACCAAGATACTGTTTGTAAAAACAAACAAGGTCATTTTTTACATAACTACATTATTTAAGAATTAATTTCACTGGCCTGTTCAACAAATTGTTAAGACAGCTTATCCCATGAGGAGAAAAGAAGCTTTAAAATTTTCAGGTAAGGTGGGAACACTGCCAAACTGTCTTTCTGAGTCACAAAGCACTAGCACACTCTATGAAGCTGAACCTCGACTCTAACATTGCCTGACTTCCTGATAATATATAATCATGGGCCACTGACTTCTTAAGAATTAAAAAAAAAAAAACTGTTCTTAAAAAAGAGGATTTAAATGTTTTCTCCAGGTAAAATATACACCGTAAATGATGAGGATAGAGAAAAGAGAAATGGATTTTCATTTCTGAATGCCACCTGAATGTGTAAGAGATCACCTGGGCTTCAATTCTGACAGTTACACAAAGGGACTAACTCCCAACCAAGATCAGAAGATAGAAAGAGACAGGAAGAGAAGAAAGGTAGGTACAAAAAAAAAAAAATATATATATATATATGGGCTACATATGTATTAAGAAAAGTGCTATATTCAGGAATATTGCTATGAGAAAGATAAGTTAAGCACTGGGTAAAAATACAGAAAAGTTTATAGTGAGGTCAATCATATAGAAACTGATCATAAGGTTTACAGATTACTTACACTCAATTCTTACCAGTCCCTCCTTGAGAAGAAAAAAGAAAAACAGGAAAGACACAAATATATTTTCCTCCTTGCTGGCTTCACAAAAAAGTTCAAACTTAAGGCTGAGAGTTGAGAGAGTGCCTGTCTATCATATTTATCCAATACTATTTGGCCTCCCGACAAAACAAATCTCAAAGTTACTATAAATGTTGGCAATGACCAAAAAAAAAAAAGGCTAACTGGTAATTCCCTGAAACTCGAGTTTTTCTGGATAGAGGATGACTTTAAACAGCTGATTATTATAAATGGTTATATTACAAATTCAGCAATATCGAATATAAAGAGAAGTTACTTTTCTAGGAAGTTCAGCTATTTAGAACACAGCAAAGCCCACACTTAAGTAAGTCCTCTGAGTGGCAGACCAATGTCACAAGGTCTATACATTGAAACTGGCACATTTTAATATGCAGACTTTAATGGGACTCTCAATTCCCCAC